CAGTGCTTCCCACCACTTTACTGTCTCCTCAAACTAGGGGTTAATGAGTTAATGAGTTAATCAGTACTTAAAACATAAGCAAACATTTGACAGGTGTTAAATGTATGTCAAGTACATTCAGACGGTCTTACATTTTCTGTCCTCTTCGTCCAGCAAAACATGAAATGCAACTCAGGAACCATGTGCACTTTCATGCTGTCGGTAATAAGCCACACTTATCGTGTGAGATCTCCTGTTACTTTTGTGCTTAGACCTCTGTAGATACAGCGCGGTCGGGACCTGTGAGAGACGAATTAAGCAGATTTCCACATTGCCTAACATTACTATGGAATCTGTATACTGTAAATCAAGCAGGGTCCTTCTGTAAGAGGTGTGTAAGAAAATATGGCTGGACCCGATACTGGTTTTATGTCCTAGGCTATGAAGTGCATTTAAACGTGTGGGCTTATGATGCTACTCAATTGCTGAGACCGAAGTAGCTGATTCAATTTCAGACTCAGGGTGTCAAGAGCTTGAGTCAGTGAGCCACATCCTCATCTGTGTATCACTACATGTATAAAAAAGTAAGATACAGATTGTGGCTGAATATCTTTGGTGAACACTATCGTTTGTCACCAACTCTGACAACTTTCCGTAAACCCTTACAAGTCTACGTGAAGCCAAGTAGAGAGCCTTGCAGACAGATAGACAAAGTCAACGTAGATCCTCAAACAGAAATGTGTCGGTTCAAGTTGCACACTTAGCAGCATGCAGAGATCAAGCCGGTAGAGAAGGAGCTGATGTCAAAATAGACAAAGGTGAGTGATAGGTGTTAAACGCATGGAAAACACTCAGATTTCTGCCCAACACGTTCATGAGACTTCATTTTGTCAGCGTCTTTACCTAATAGGACCATATCGTCTGCATATTCCAAGTCAACCGATGCCTTCCAAAGAGTAGGTCAATACCTGTGAAGTAAGAGTTACCTGAGATGATTTCCATTAGTATATCTGAACGGTCACAGCAGGCAGACCTGGTGGACAACATTGGCTATAGGCAACTAAGATGACAACTCTCCATAAACCCTTAAATGGCTACATGAGTTCAAGCGGATTGATTAGCTTCGAGTACAGTCAAACAGTGCCACAACACTTCAGAATCAACATAATCGAATGCTGCCTTCAGTTCAAGAAATATGGCAAGTGTCGACCACTGGCTGGCAGGTATGCATGTGCCCCAGAACTTGTCGAAGGATGAAAATTTGGTCGAGGCACTTTTGTATAGGCCTGGAAACTGCCTGGTTTTTTAAAGTTTACTGTTCTCGAGCTCCAGTTAGGCGTCTGATAACTGTCGATCCTAGGATTTTGGACACTGTTTCACCATCAAGATCTTAAGTGCTAACTGAGTTGTGAGGGCGGTTGACACTTTCCGGCTGCCCATACCGTAGAAGGTTAGGTCTTCTTGAGGTACCTAAAAAAGAGGGGTTACTGCGTGGTCATAGAGCTAAGGGGATATCTACTGGAGGCCAGTCACTTACAACTTTTTCAATGTTACAAAAATTGGCCTGTATTATGGAAGGTGTGGTCGGACATACATCCTGTGATTTTGGATCACCGCTAACCACTGATAACTGATCTAAGCCATGATAATGCATCATTTCATTTTTAAGAACATATTAAAAGTATGGGTAACTGCTTTTTGTCTAATTAGTATCTAACAAACCTTTCTCTTGTGGTAGGACCTCGTGGGAACAAGCGTTCCACCAGCACATCTCGTTGGGTCGTCGTGATACATAAGCCTGACCACCATGACAAGGTAGCACCTATCGGTCAGGTGGACACAATTTCGGCCAAGCTGATTCCCATGTGGTTATCACCAAAATAATTTTCTCCCTTTCTATAGACTGCGATGAATTAGACCAGTCTGACGGCACTCTCTTTGATTCCAGTACACTACCTAGTACCGCCGTCACTCTAATCAGCAGTTTCCTACCTCCATCTTTAAAAACGCATGAAAAACTTCCAAGTCCAGCCGTTTTGCATCGTTTCAGGTTGGATACAGCATTTTCAACTTCAAGGAGTCTTTACTGGTGTTTCTACAACAGACTTAATATGACACCAGGTTTTCTCAGGATGAGCATTGCGTTGTATTCAGATAAAAACTTAGCTAACTCCTGTCGAAATGTGTACTTGGCATCCTCATTTTCCAATCCAGCATAGAAAGGCTATACTGTCGTCTGTTTCTTGCAACCAGTAAGTTTCAGGCATACACAACTCCGTACTAACGCTTGACTGGAGTTCAAATGGCACTCCTTAAAGATCAACAATCCTCCACCGAACCTCTTCAACGACGACTTACAGTAATGTGACCTATCTTTGTCCATCGTTGGTTTGATGTCAGCCGACACTATGTGAAACAGTCCTTATGCTTAGAGTTAGTGCTGACTAGAAGCAAGTGATTGGGGAGAAAAATTACAACAACGACCAGTGTTGTTGCTTCGTTGGCATGCGTCTCCATAAATACCCTCCCTTCAAGATACCTTCCTGATTGGCTCAACTTTCCCATTTGAGTGTTAAAGTCATCTAAAATTTTCACTATTTCTGAGCATTTTACTTTCAGCAACAAAATTGGCAGCATCTCATAGAATTTATCCTTTGTCTTGTCCGAACTGTAGTTGGTGTAAGTGCGTTGGCGGAGATTACGAATAATAGGCATTGCCTACTCTCTCGATCCTTCCTAGTCCTTGCAATTCTATCCAGTCAGACAGCATGTAGAAGGGTTTTTTTTAGTCAAGAAAAGCTCTTTCTGTTCGATAATTTTGTACTTTGCTTACACTAGTGAGTCCAAAAGAGCGAGCCATAGGCCCTCTGGATACTCATAAGATGGATTTTGTAGATTCACCGTGTTGGTCAGGTGAGGTTGTTTTAATAACCATACCTCGGGTCCTGTATGTGTGTTTCGAAAAAAGATATTGCAGAGTTCTGACAAGAGATATATGTTCTCGGGTTTTGACGTTGAGATCTCCAACGTGAAATTGATCACTCAGGGTCTTCGGAGACTAGGAATGAGGTTTTATTGTCTTTGATCATTGTCAGTGGTTGCAGAGTGAGAAGTTAAGCAAGGTGTTATGAGCTTGTAACACTGGTTTCAGGAGATGAAGGCGGAAGCAGAGGCAGAGGTTAGGAGAGCGGGCTATGTTAAGTTGAACCTTATGCAGAACTGGAAGAGTTTGGGGCTATCCACACTATGGAATTTGTTTCTGCAGGATACCTGTAACACCACAGGGCCCCATTGGATATCTGATCCTAAATCTTTGTCGCACACAGTCTTTCGACGACTGTTAGTTTGAGATTTGGTTTCTATAACGCTGGATTGGTAAAATCCATACCGGTAGCACCGGTATCCTGCAGAGTAAAAGAGAAAGTTAGTGCTTTTACAACCGACCTTTCCTAACCACCGCTCCAATTTGGGAAAGCAGCATGAGTAGGGTACTGCTTATCATCAATCCATCCAAATCAACATAGGATCAGGTATAACTGCGTAACGGTTCAACTTGCCGCCACACCTCATATCAGTATGTCAAGTAAAAAGGCAGTCAAGTGGAAGATGAAGAAAGCAAAATTCACTCAAAAGAAATATAAAGTACTCTAAGAGAGAAAGGAAAAATGAGAAAATGATGAAATCCGGTATAAGATCGTTTAGATGAGGATAGTGTGTGTGGATACATCTGTGCCACTAATATGGGTTCTCAGTCATGTCGCCTACAGTCAGTTTCCAACCGCTGATTTCTCTTGTACTCTTCTCTTGTCCAACGGACCCCAACCATCTAGTCTGCATCGTCCCGCATGACTCAAACCAACAGTCAAAGACGTCTAACATTGATGCCATGTTTTAGTCTGGTCGAGAGCCTCGAGACTTTTATTAGCCTGAACCTACTTTGGACAACATTGTTTGAGGAGGCAGACTGTGACAAGGCATGCGTCGTAATACATGTCCCAGGCAGCCATCTCAGTCGATGAAGGTTCACAATCTCACTCAACTGATTTACTTCTTCTCCTTAATACCCTACGCTTGAGCCTGACTTCTGCGTTACGTGGTGTGGTGACACCACGGAATACGGCCTATACTACGAAGGCAACGGTGGTCAAACACCTCAAGCCCTCTCATGTCTTCCATCTTCAATGACCATGTTTCACAGCGATACAGTAGAACAGAGCGGACTGGTGTGCATAACACGCGACCTTTAACAGACAATCGGATATCACGGTGGCGATATCGCAGGTGGTGTAAGTTGGCAGAAGCCAGTCGAGCCTTTTGTATTGGTGCAGAGATTTTATTGGCCACTGACCAACACATTGGAGCTGATCCTACTTCCCAGGTAAGTGAAGTGTTCAACGCGCTGAATCACTTCGCACTCGATTATTAGCTATGGCACCGTTGAAGACCAATCGTGGAGCAACAATTTGCATTTGTATGGTGGGAAACTCATCGTAAACATTCTGAAATTGTCACTCAAAGTGTCTTGTCAGCATCTTCACCTGCATATTCTCGGTCTGACGAAAATTCTCTCACGATTAGGTCAAGCTCTGTGTAATCAGGTGACGAGAGGGAAACCTCTATGAGAATATCTATGATAAAATTGAATAAGAATGGAGATAGTGGGCACCCTTGACGAACACCAAGCTAGATGAGCATAGTTCCCTGGATATCTCACCATAGGCTCTAACACGCCTACAAATGTTCGAGTAGAGAGCCTTCAATAAAGTGATGTGCTGAACGCTCTCTATTGCTTGTAATTGGAGTAAAACACACTACCCAGAAGTACAATTTCGCCATCACCACCCCTCATAACAGTAACTACTTTTCATCTTACCATTACCCAACAACTCTTTGTGGCATAGTGTTGGGTCATTATGATCATACTTGATTTTATGCGTTTTTTTTTGTTTTACATTTCTTTTTTTCAAAAGAAATTTGTCCTTGGAAGAATTGATTCCTTCTTTTGCAAGACAATAACAAGTATGGAAGAAGATAATATCATTATTGTAAGTTCTTTACATTGTATATTTCAATTCATTGCATATATCATTATTTCTAGGAGGAACAAGATAGACCATTTGAAGAAGAACTGATTCGTAATCCTCATAATGTGAAATCTTGGCTAAGATATATAAATATGAAGACGAGATCACCACCGAAAGTAGTTTATATGCTGTATGAACGAGCTGTAAAACAATTACCTGGAAGGTAATATCACCTTCGTTTTGTTTAATATTATCTTTCCCCCCCCCCCATTCCGTCTCTCTCTCTTTGTGTGTGTTTCTAGTTACAAATTATGGTATCGTTATCTACGTTTACGACGTATACATTCACGTTCTCTCTGCCCTGGTAGTATTCTACATGAAGAGACAAATAATGCTCATGAAAGAGCACTTGTTACAATGCATAAGGTTATAATAGAATAGTTAATTTACCAATAAACTTTTAATTTATTATTGTTATTATTTAGATGCCTCGTATATGGACAGATTATTTATTGTTTTTAATGTCACAAGGATATATTACTCGAACCCGACATGCTTTTGATAGAGCATTGAAAGCTTTACCAATTACACAACATGATAGAATATGGAATTTATACTTACGATTTGCTGATAGACATGGTCATCAAATTAATGAGACATGTGTACGAATCTATCGACGATATATAAAGGTAATGCTTATAGTTCAATTATTTAATTATCTTGAAATATTTTCTTTTTTTTATAGTTTGCTCCAGATGATATGGAACGTTTTGTTAATTTTCTTATTCAACATGGTAATGCTAATGAAGGTGCAGTTGTCTTATCTGAGATAATTAATGATGATACATTTATGAGTCGTGAAGGCAAATCAAAATTTCAATTATGGAATCAATTATGTAATCTATTAGTTAAAAATCCATTAAAGATTACATCATTAAAAGCAGATCCTATTATACGTCAAGGTATTCATCGTTATACTGATCAAGTAGGTGTTTTATGGAATTCATTAGCTGATTATCATATACGTTGTGGAAATCTTGCACGAGCTAGAGATGTTTATGCTGAAGCGTTGAATAGTGTTTCAACTGTTCGTGATTTTACTCAAGTATTTGATGCTTATGCTGAGTTTGAAGAATCTATGGCAAAAGCTAAAATGGCATCATTAGATCAATCTGATGTTACAGAAGAAGGTAAGAAGTCAGACAATTTTGATATTATTCAGCAGTACTTTTCTCCTTTTTAAAGTTAACTAGTTGGTTGATTGGTTGGTTGGTTGGTTGTTCACGGTTGAGTATATTCCAAAGATTGATTCATTAACAATATTTATGGATAGTTGGGAACGGATGGAGCTTCAAACATTTACTCCTACTCCAAAGATATGCTTCCGAAATGTAGATGATACGTTTACAGTAATGAAATTAAAACACATCAATAGGTTCGTGACACATATACATTCAGTAGTGAATGTAGTCAAATTTACTAGTGACTTAGAAAGTCAAGAAGGTGAGCTAACAATGTTGGATTGAAAGATTAGACGAACACAAGAAGGAAATCTGGAGACTAGTGTCTATAGGAAAACTTTCTATTCGAATCGCTACTTAGACTTCTAATCCTCCCATCGTATTTCAACTAAAGTAGACTTTATCATCATCATCATCATCCAGATCAACCTAGGACCAGACATTACTGCCTTACGGTCCAACTTACTGCCACACTTCATATCAGCACTAACATCGCTTCTCAGCCATGCTAGCATCCCGAACATTCTGATATTGTGTTCAGAAAACTCTGCATCTGGTCAGCATCTTCACCTAACAGGAGTATATCATCTGCTTATTTTAGGTCTAACGAAAATTCTCCCACGATTACGTCGACCTCTGTGTGCTCAAATGAGGAGAGGGAAACCTCCATAAGAGAATATCGATGATAAAATTGAATAAAAATGGAGAGAGTGGGCATCGTTGACGGACACCACATTCGATGAGCACAGCTCCTTGGACATCTCCATCCCATACTAAGAGTGTTTTCCATCATTCCAAAGGCTTTACTGGCTTATGATGTGAAAAATATGCAATTAATTTACAGCTAAGTCACAGTAGTCTGACTGAAAAAAGTTAAGTGCACCATAACCTTTCACAAAACGTTTGTGCAATTATGGTACTACTCATAAGAATTCAGTAGTTAAACTGAATCTATGAAATATAACAAGCTTATTTATAGAATAATTCTGTTCGATTGTTTCTGCGAAAGTGATCCACAGAATACTTGTACTTAGTTTTACCCCTTGCTGACACTTAAACCTTCAATAAATTCAACAAACTTTAACAATCAAGATGTAAACTGTTCACCCTTCCAAATGAAGAACATAACTAGGTACTGAAAAAACAATTCATTGCATATCAAGGTGATTTCGGTCACCGATGGAAACCAAGAAGTACTGCATAGTCTTCGAGTTGACTCCACTTTGATAATGATTGGTATATTGGAGCATTCATGGTATCAGATTCATAAGGTTTCGTGATGACATACGTCACAGGTAAGCTACTATGTTGAAATGAAATGAACCAACTTCTGTCAAATCGTGAATTAAGCATTGAACCAGAACATCTGGTCGAATGTTCAGATGCTCAACTCAAAATCCTTTGGAATATACTTCTGAGGTGCTTTCCTTTTATGATACCAAAGCAGAGGCTTCAAATTCTCTCTCAACCCTATCACCATTATTACCATTGGTAGTGGGATTATCATTATTAATAACACCCATATTACTACTACTACCACTGCTAATATTTTTCTTTCGATTCCTCATGAATTTATTTATAAATTCCGGTGGGTAATTATTGAGACGTAGGGTATTCTCGATGTACCTAATTTCTTACTGTAGATCTTCCGATCTACTAGTAAGTTTTTCGCTCTATCATTTAAGCATTTAACTAAGCCTACTTTACTGTTAGGTGAAGATGCTGACAAGATGCAGAGTTTTCTGAACACCTTGAGTAGCAATTTGAGAATGTTCAGGATGCACTTCTCACCACCCAAATGCAAATTGTCTCTCCAGGATTGGTCTTCAACGGTACCTCGGCTAACCATTGAGAGTGTAGTGGTTGAGTGTGTCGACCACTTCACTTACCTGGGAAGTAGGATCAGCTCTGATGGCTCAGTGGCCAGTGAAATCTCTGCATCAATACGGGAGGCTCGATTGGCTTTTGCCAACTCACGCCATCCGTGATATCCGATTGTCTATTAAAGGTCGCGTGTACTACACAGCATTATGCTCGGTTCTACTGTATGGGGGGAAATGGTCAACAACAGTTAGTGAGGTTATAGCGGAGAAGGACGGATCGGCGATTCACTCGCAGGGAAGGCGACTGGGACGATGGGCAGAACACTTTGAGGAACAGTTTAACTGGCCTCCAGCCACCATTGCGCTGCCCGCTATCCAGTCGGACCCTGAATGGGACATAGAGACAGGTCCCCCAACACTAGAAGAAGTTGAGAAAGCGGTAGGTAGCCTGAAACGGGGAAGGGCAGCAGGACCAGACGGACTACCTGCTGAGGTATACAAGAATGGTGGTAGAGTTCTCTTAGTCAGGCTAACGGAAGTGTTAGCCAGTATATGGGAATCAAATACGATCCCCTCCGACTGGTCTAAGTCACTGATCATCCCAGTCTTCAAGAAAGGCGAGAAGTCCTCTTGTGATAACCACAGAGGAATCAGCCTGACAAACATAGTGTCTAAGATCCTAAGTTCTATAATTCTCCGACGCCTGAGTGGAGCTCGGGAACAGCAAGCCCGAGAAAACCAGGCAGGCTTTAGACCTGGCCGTGGATGTATCGACCAAATATTCACACTGCGCCAGGTCCTGGAACATAGGCATGCTTACAGACGCCCGACAATAGCTGTATTTCTCGACCTGAAGGCGGCATTTGACTCCGTTGATCGAGAAGTCTTATGGCAGTGTCTGTCACTGAAAGGCGTGCCTAGTAAGTACATCACCTTATTGAAAGCTCTCTACTCGAACACTTGTGGGCATGTTAGAGCCTATGGTGAGTTGTCCAGGGAGCTATACTCATCAAGTGGTGTCCGTCAAGGATGCCCACTATCCCCATTCTTATTTAATTTTATCATAGATATTCTTATGGAGGTTTCCCTCTCGTCACCTAATTACAAAGACGTTGACCGGATCACAGGTGAATTTTCCTTAGATCTAGAATATGCAGATGACATAGTCCTGTTAGGTGAAGACGCTGACAAGATGCAGAGTCTTCTGAACACTTTGAGTGGGAATTTGAGAATGTTTGGGATGCGATTTTCACCACCCAAATGCAAATTTTTGCTCCAGGACTGGTCTTCAGCGGTACCGCGGTTAACAATAGAGAGTGAAGTGGTTGAGTGTGTTGACCACTTCACTTACCTGGGAAGTAGGATCAACCCGGTGGGTTAGTTGCCGATGAGATTTCTGCACGGATACAAAAGGCTCGATTGGCTTTTGCCAATTTGCGCCACCTATGGCGCCGCCGTGATATTCGTTTGTCTATTAAGGGTCGCGTGTACTGCACAGCAGTCCGCTCTGTTCTACTGTATGGCTGTGAAACATGGCCATTGAAAGTGGAAGACATGAGAAGGTTACAGGTATTTGACCACCGTTGCCTTCGTAGTATAGGACGTATTCCGTGGTGTCACCATGTGAGTAATGCAGAAGTTAGGTGTAGAGTTTTAGGGAGAAGAGGTAAGTCAGTCGACGAGGTTGTGAACCTTCATCGACTGAGATGGTTGGGACACGTACTACGTATGCCTAGTCACCGATTGCCTCGTCACACAATGTTGGCTGAGGTGGGTTCAGGCTGGAAAAAGGCCCGAGGTGGCCAGACTAAAACATGGCACCAATGTATGAAGTCTCTGACTGTTGGTTTAAGCCATGTAGGACGATGCAGACTAGGTGGTTGGGGTCCACGGGACAAGAGGAACCAGTGGTTGGAGACCCTAGGTGATATGGCTCAGAACCGAAGTCAGTGGCGCAGATGTATACACACATTATCCTCATCTTAACAACGCTATACCGAATCTCACTATTTTGTCACTCCTCTTTCCTTTCTTCTCATACTTTATATTTCTTTTGACTGCATTCACTTATCTTCATCCTTCACCTCACTACCTTTTTACTTGATGTGCTGATATGAGGTGTGGCAACTCGGACCGTTACGCAGTAATGCCTGGTCCTATGTTGATAATGATGATGACTGTATGGCTGTGAAATATGACCATTGAAGGTGGATGACATGAGAGGGCTTGAGGTGTTTGACCACTGTTGCCCTCATAGTATAGGCCGTATTCCGTGGTATCACAACACCACATGAGTAACACAGAAGTCAGGCTCAGGCGTAGAGTTTTAGGGGGAAGAAGTAAGTGAGTTGACGAGGTTGTGGACCTTCATCGACTGAGATGGTTCGCTCCGACACGTGTCACGTGTGCCTGATCACTGATTACCTTGTTTCACAATGTTGGCTGAAGGGAGCCCAGGCTTGAAAAAGGCCCAAGGTGGCCAGACTAAAACGTGGTACTAATGTATGAAGTCTCTGATTGTTAGTTTGAGTCATGTGGGGCGATGCAGACTAGGTGGTTGGTGTGTGTGGGACAAGAGGAAGGAGTGGTTGGAGACTGTAGATGATGGCATGGCTGAAAAGCGATGTTAGTGCTGATATGAAGTGTGGCAGTAAGTTGGACCGTAAGGCAGTAATGCCTGTTCCTATGTTGATTTGGAAGAATGAATGGATGTGGATTGTATGATGTTTTGTGAGCTTCAGTAGTTGTTGTTGTGGATATTTCATCAAGAAGCTCCGATTTCATCGGTAGATAAAGCGTATTGAAATGTTATACCTATATTTAAGAAATGTTCACTAAATAAGTGAATCGTGAAGCACAATGTGTTACAGTGGGAAATAGTTCAATTTAAGTTTAACGAATACTGTTTCCCATCGTGATCCCACGAATTGTAGTGTCGACGAGGCTAATATGTGACAAAAATTTCTTGCGTCAACTTGTAGTTGGCCAACACTCAGGATCAGAAGTAACATATTCGAAACATCCATGGATTCCGACCCAGTAGCTCAATTGTAACACGCTGGGTACGGAACCTTAGCGTCCTGGGTTTGACTTCTGGTGGGGCGGGGTTGTGGGCGCGCACTTCTGATGGGTCTCATACTAGGACGAAACAGTTGTGCAGTGTTCCGAAGTCTCTAATGTTCCTCCAACTGATAAATGGTAACTTGATATCAGTCACTAAATCCCTACAAACCCCTAAATACAAGTAAGTGGCACATAAACATACTTGCTGGTCAGCAACCGACACTTACCATATTTCTTGACCTGAAGGCAACATTTGACTCTGTCGATACTGAAGTGTTGTGGCAGTGTCTGACTGTATTTGACTCTAGTCAAAGCTCTCAGCTCGAACTCGTTTAACCATTTAAAGGCTTACGGAGAGTTGTTATCTGATTTAGCAAGAGCCAACGTTATCCACCAGGGATGCCCGCTATGTCCGTTTCTGTTTAACTTTGTTTTAGCTGTACTAGTGTACATAACTTAAGGTACATGTGACGCTGATAAAGTGAAAAGTCTTTTAAAGGCGTTGGCAGAAATCTGAGTATGTTTGGCTGATATGCGTTTTACACCTGTAGAATTTAAGATGACGCTCCAGGATACGGGAGTGAAGTTGTGGAGTGTGCCGACCACTTCAGTCACCAGGGAAATTGCATCAACCCGGACGGGCTAGTTGCTGACGAGATCTCAGTTTGGATACAGAAGTCCCGTTTCGTAATTAGTGACTTGCATCATCTTTGGCAGTGACTGGTGAGACTATCTATGAAATGACGAGTACGCTGCGCTGCGGTTCGTTCTGTTCTTTTATGCAGCTGTGAAACATAGCCGTTAAAAGTGGAAGATTTGAAACGGTTGTAAGTTTATGACTACAAAATGTCTTCGTTGTCTGCAATCGTCTTATGAAAGGTTCTAGAAAAGGAAAACAATTGGGTCAATAATGTTGTGATTGTTCGTTGACCAAGGTGGCATGGATATGTGTTGAGAATGCCAAGACACCGCTTACCTCAACGTGTAGTGCTGGTGGGAGGGGAGTTGGATTCAGTTTGAAAAGGGTTCAGCGTGCCTAGATCAAGACTTGATAGCATGTTGGTGACATGGCTGATAATAGGTCACAATGTCTTGATTAGCCTTCCCTCTTTGTCTGCTTTGATCTGTGCCTTTTTCTCTCTTCATCTGATCTATTTTGTGCTACTTTGAAGTGACATACTTGTATGCTAAGGTTTTACATTGATTTTGTCTGTGTTTCTGATCACTGAATGTTAATATGTATCAGTGTTAGAGTAGCTACGGTGTGTGAATTGAAATCTAGAAGTGGAGAATTTGTCACAAAAAAAGCAATTAGCAAACAGTTGTCAGAGTGGAAAGGAATCAGAAATCAATAACTGACCATTCACTTGACGGCAACATAATGATAATCAAAAATGCTTATTCAACCAGAAGGAAAGGTAAGTTTAATAGTTGTGACAAGCATTTCTAGCTCAGAGTGTGAATGTTCCCTGATCATTTGTTCTTTGAGCAAGCTTTGATACACCACTAGTGATGACGATGTCTAGCATGACGTTGACATGTCTGCCAACTAAAACCGTAACTCTGGGAACAGTTCATTGTGTAAAAAGGTCACGGTCGATTCTGTAGACTACTGGAAACCAGTCTTGTGAAACTGTATCCACTGTCAATGAAATCTTATAATGTGGAGCTATTCATCAGTCTTTGTTAGCTTTTAATGAGCCAGTAATGGAAGTTGTTGACGGCGTCGATGTTAGACTATCTGTTTCCACAAGAGTTGTAGGCTAGCAGTGGGAGTTTGTCTCTCACACGTTTCCAATACTGAACAACTATTATGATATTATTATTTTTCCCTTGGGTTCCTAGTGGAATATAGGGATTCAGTAGCACGTCGCCACTGCACTCTCTTCTCTGTAGTGTTTTCAACCTAGCTCCACGACTGTCCATAAGCTTTCATTTCTTCCTCACATGATCTCCATGTCACGCTCAGCTGGAACCCCCCAACTTGTCGTTTCCCATTTGGACTGCGCTCGGGGGCATGGCCTGATGCGTGATGTACCCAACTGGCGTTCTCAGTGTATGCCCAATCCATCTCCACTTTCTTCTACTGCATATTTGTTGCGTGATAGGTTGTTGGTTGGTTCGTTCCCCGAGTTCCTTGTTGTTTATTCTTATTGTTCTGGCCATCTGATCTTCAGGATCGAGCCAACGTAGGCAGTTGTTGATGAATGTCTGTAGTTTGTCGGAAATGCTTTTTGTGACTCGCCAAGTTTCTGAACCATATAGCAGCAGTGACTTTACATTGGTGTTGAAAATCCGGATGTTGTTCACGCTTTGTACTGAGTGCAGTAGATCTCTGCACCCATTTCAGATTAATGAAAGCCTTTCTTGCTGTCTCTCCTATCCTGGTTTTGACATCCTCGTCTGTGCCGCCTGTAGTTGAAACGATGCTGCCCAGCCTAGGTAGGTGAAAGAGACTACTTCCTTTAGGCTTCTGTCGTTAATGATGATTGGTACTTGTTGTTGTTGGTGGTGTTGGTTGGGTATCTTCATCACCTTTGTCTTCTCTACATTCACTTGAAGTCCCGTTTTCGCTGCCTCACTTCTCCTGTCAATTTGTTGATTTCGCCTATACATCTTCGAGTTTGTGTGACAAGACATTAGACATAAATCATCATCGTCGACGAAATCCAACTATTCTTCTCAGGGTCTTTTCATCGGTCCAGCGTATGCTATACCTCCTCGTCTCTTTTTCAATCTGGGCAGCCTTGGTAGGTTGATACATGGCGCGAACATTCCATTTCCCCATCGTTACTTTCGCTTTAATCGAAAGAAGACACATTGGCGAGTTGGCTTCCTGAAGACTTTCACCAACCGGGGTCATTTCGTCTCTCCGGTTCCAGCGAGGAATAAGTTTGTTTATACTTTTTTTGTATACTGAACAACTAGTTTAGGTCATTTCCAAACTGCCTGCATAGAATTCGCTCCTGACAGTTCGGCCTACTTAACATTTGAGTAGGTCATCTGCTTCATCTTCATTGAACTCCAGAGTTAAATGAACATATGTTCTTTGAAGGTTACAGATACGCTTCTCTATCTCTCTGTGATATGCTGTTCACTTCTTTCCTTTCTTCACTTTTTACTAGATGAATTAGATGTTGAATTATACTTGGCACGTCTTGAATCGTTAATGGATCATCGTCCATTATTATTGAATAGTGTTTTATTACGTCAAAATCCTCATAATGTTGCTGATTGGTTGAAACGTGTTGATCTATTAAAAAGTCATGGTGCACGTGAACAGATTTCAGCATTTATGGAGGGTATTACTTCAGTTGATCCAGGTAAATGATTTAGATTGTTTTTAATTATTTCTATCGCGTTCGCCGTGAAACCTAAAGGTCCTGAGTTCGATCCCTTGCCGGGTGGTGGGTGCGTACTGCCGAGGAGTCCCACACTGGGACGAAACAGCTGTCCAGTGCTCCCAGATTTTCAATGGTTCCCCAACTAATGTCGGTCCATGATGAACACTACTTCTATTTCTATCTTGTTGGAGGGCATGCGTCTGTGTGTTGACCCTCTAAACTGGTTGAAATTCAACTGAAAGTAGGATTTGAGAGAAGTATATCAGTCCATGGGCGTCATGTTTCACTTAAAATCCTGAAAGTTTCACCTTTGACTTGTGATATGAGGATAGAGAGCCTATTGTGTAGATGGACGAATCAAAATGTAGTTCTTGTTATCACTTCTATAGTGAGAGAGACAGACGGTAGATCAGCCAATCGACAGGATTATTTTAAACAAGGAACTGTCCATGTATCATAATTCGGTTGGCTGTGGCTAACAGAAGAATCCAGGACGTGCGTTTCGTCCTATTTGGGACTCATCAGCTGGGTGTTCCCTGCACTCCAGTGATGTTGTTCCCACTGAGACTTGGACTTCGTACCCATTGCTTCAAATGCTAAGGCGTTATCCACTATCCCACGGAGGGATGATAGCCACTACTTGTACAACGGGTAACAGTTATTACTATTTATTGACGTACTTGTTATTTTCCGTTGTTTTGTTGTGTTGGATTGAATTGTTCGACCTTTATTGGCATATGGGCTCCTATGGAGAAGCCTCGATATTGCCTGAATGTTAATTATGATAAGTTGGTTGGTTGTGGCTAGCGGAAGAATCCAGGATGTGCGTTTCGTCCTATTTGAGAACAAGATCTCAATATGTGTTTCTAAGCTTCCATCCTGTGTTCTTCATGAATAAGTCGGATCGGGAATTAACTAGGAATTTGTTGAATGTGTTTTAGTCTGTGTGTACGATATATCTCCTGCTGTATGCTGATATGGTCTTCGGATTCTCCGGTTCAATGAACCACAGGTTTAACACCCACTGCCATATATGGACGTTTAGATACGCATGCTAGTATTATCATTATAGCACACTGACCAGATTCTCAGATTCTAGCTCAGTTTGTTCTGAATATTATTATCATTATTGTAATCACTATTATTACTTCTTAGCCAAGGCAACTGCTGGTCGTCCGTCATCACTTTGGACTGGTTTATCACGTTTGTATGAAGAACATGGTCAATTGAATGATGCTCGCGTGGTGCTTGAAAAAGCGACTGGTGTTGCTTTTACACACGTTGAAGATTTAGCTGCTATCTGGTGTGAATGGGCTGAAATGGAAATGCGTCATGAGTAAGTTCAACTTCTAACTAATGTGCTAAGTTGTTGGTATTCATCACAGCTTGGAATCACTGGATAACTGTTTCGTCCCAGTATTAGGATTCCTCAGCAGTGCGTACCCATGAAACCCCTCCCTCAGGGATCGACCTCTAACCTGCACCTGGTTACTGAGCCGCCACATCCGGATTCACTGGTCCGCATTTCACACTTCTGTCATTTCGTGCAATTTTAACTGTAATAGATTTATTATTATATGTTGGTACACTCGTTGTTGTGCTGAATCGAATTGTTCGTCTTCTGTTAGCATATGGGCTCCTATGTGGATGCCTCTATATTGCCTGAGTATTTATTGTTGTGATTGACTTGGTTGTGGCTAATAGAGGAATCCAGGATGTACGTCTACTCCTATTTGAGACTCATTAGCCTGTTGTACCTGCACTCAAGTGAATGGCGTTATCCCCACTGAGACTCCAACCTTGTACCCATCATTTCAAACGCCAAGATGTCAATCACTATACCACGGAGGCACGATAGCCAGATGTTGTATAAATAGATCCGGTTGTAGTAGATTCAGTTTGGAAAAAAGTTAAATTTAGTCAAATTAAAACACGGTATCCATGACGTTTTTAACTATGGATCTAGGCCATATAGGGAATCGTAGACATTTTTGGTTGGAGGCTAGTATAACAACGAATGTAGGTGGTCGAAAATTTCTGGTTAAAGAGGCTGATGGGGAAAATCGATCTCTTCACATTTCATAACAGTGGATAAACAACACTTTAGTAGAGAAAGAGTGATAACAATGTAGGAAGTGTGTAGGAATTCGATAAGTAAGGCTTAGTGCAAATATTCAAAGTTTACAAGACATCAAAGTATGAATATATCTTGATAGCCCAACCAGGTAGTCTAACAACATCTCCTTTATATAGTTGAGACTAACAATAACCCTGTATTCATAGATTATTAGTGTTACATCCTGATATAGACGGTCGTAGCTTTTTTTAATCCAATTCTGCTTCAAGTATCACTGAACTTGGAGGTAGGTCGGTAGGTTGGTGTCTGCAACATATTATCTAAACCGCGTTATTCGTTTAAGATTCTAAGACGCTAACAGAAGTTGGAAATATGGACCATTGGATTCTGATCCAGTGGTTCAATGGTAACGTGCTGGCCACGGAACCTGAAGGTCGCGGGTTCGACCCTGCAGTGAGGGGTCGTAGGTGCGCACTGCCTAGGAGTCCTATACTAGGACGAAACAGCTGTCCATTACTCCCAGGTTTCCCTTGTTCCTTCAACTGATGTCAGTCTACGATGAATAACAACTTGAAATATTCTAAGGTGCCTTAGATGCATCGTTATATGAATCATTTCCTTTCACTTTGGCACTCGTCAGCAAGGCGTATCTGCAACCTCGAATAGCTCAATAGTAAAGTCGCTGACTACAACACTGGGTGATACGGGTTCGAATCTCAGGCGGGATATCAGTTCCTGCCAATTGCCTCCAACCAGTTAACATCTACTAATGTGCACCGTGATGCTGAGCTTCCTAGCTTGGTTGCCACACTGCCAATTTGATGGGTGGAATTCAGTCTGCACTCAGGACTAGACAACATGAAATTGGTTACACTCCTATGACCAATCAATACATGGTGTTAACTGTCTCAACTTTGTATGCATACATAACTTCACTATCCTATCTATTTCATTTAGTATATTGGTCAAGTTTTTCTAGCCTATTGAAATTTACATAACTCATGTATCTCATTCCATTCACTCTTAAAATTCATCTGTTGTCGAACACAAAGAAACACTTGCCGCATGCTTTATGCTACATTTCGACTTTCATTAACTGGGTCGAGTCCTATTCATATTACCATGGGTTTCACTGGCTAGTATAAAATAGGCATGACTTGTGTGTCTGTATACCATAAACGCATTGTGACACCAGAACACAAGATATTCAACGAATTTATTCTCAAGTGGTATATTTATTATTATTATTTGTCCCTTGGGTTCCTAGTGGAACATAGGACTTCAGTAGCACATCACCATTTCATTCTCTTTTCTACAGTCTATTTCTTTAACCTGGCTCCATGACTGCCTATAATCTTCCATTCCTTCCTCATACGATCTCCTCTCAATGTCACCCTTGGACGACCAACTCATCGTTTCCTATTTGGATTCCACTCTAGGACCTGACTTGGCGCTTGATGTCTTCAATCGGTCTTCTCAGTGTATATCCAATCCAATCCATCTCCACTTTGTTGTGGATATTTGTTGGATGATAGGTTGTTGGTTGATTCGTTGCCAGTCAGCCAACCAGCCAGAGTTCTTTGTTGCTTATTCTTATTATTGTGGCCATCTGATCTTCAGTTTATGGTGTGAGATGTTGATGATGTATGTCCGCAGCTCGATTGAAATGCTTTTTGTAACGCTCTAAGTTTCTGAACCATCACATGTAAGCATCGACTTGATTGACAGTGTTGTGATGTGTTCTCTTCCTGTTTTGTCTGCTCACTGGAATGGGGTCTTGTCTATTACTGATTGCAGTTGTCTGTAGAATTCCTCCTTCTTTTCTTCACCTGCATTATTTGTAGGTGCGTAGCGTAGCATTGAATGATTATGACTTTCTTTCCTTTTGAGTTGAATCTTACTGTCATGATCCCGTGGAAGCAGGTCGACTCCTACTGCATTCGTGACAGCCTTTGATGCTGTTGTTGAGTACATCATGATAGCCACTCAAAAACTCAGTCTGCTCTTGGTTATCCTCCGGGTGACAATATCGGAGTAGATTATTGACTGTGCAGTTGACAGTTTCGAGAGTCCAGTTCCATTCTATCTGATTTCGCAGATTCCTAGCACTTCTATCCTTTACCGTCTCATCTCTTGCAATCTGTGCAGCCTTGGTAGGCTCATACATGGTGTGGATATTCCATGTCGCCATCCTTACTTTCGCTTTTACCGAAAGAAGACACATTGGCGAGTTGGCTTCCTGAAGGCTTTCACCGTCTGGTGTCATTTCGTCTCTCCGGTTCCAGCGATTGGATTGGTTTTCTAGTGTAGGGTTGATGGCCCTATGCCCAACCTTCCCTCTTTATCCGGGCTCAGGATCGGCTAGTGAACTAGTTAACTAGGCGAGGTTTAAGCTGTATACATATGATATTTTAAGACTGTAATTCGTGAGAAAGATTTAACTTACATTAATAGTAGGGGGGGGGGCTTTGAATGGCAACAAAAAGGGGTAAGTAAGACAGTTTGAATCTCTTCTAGGCTCCGGATTGTCCACAAACGGGTGAAAATGTAACAGAGTTAATAAACAGTCCAAGGTGATTAGGTAATATAATTGAGATGCCAGGCTAATTGAAATAAAAATTAAAAAGGTTTTCGTTAAAAGTTGTGAATACTGAGGAGATTGAATGACTTAACACCGCAACTCACTCAATATCATAGTAACAATACTAATAATGATAATGATGATATAAGAGTACAAAGATTATCCTAACAAAAGGGGAAGTTAACAAAAAGAAAAGTGTAACCAAGCACATTAAGTCAAAGTCAAGGTAGAGACAAAGACTGTGGATACTTCGTTTTGCCCACAATGATCAGTCTTCACTTCATGGATAACTAAGACGTCTGTTGTCTTGGTTGTATTGTGTTCTCTGAGTTGGGTTGTGTAATTGTGAAGCCTTCATCGTCATCTGAGCTACAAATATTCTCCACTATTTCAAAATTATACGAGCGTAACACGCTTCACATTGTTCGAAGATTAGAAGACTTTTCCAAAAGGCAAGCTTCCACAAAAGAATAACTATTCTTTCTCCATGATTGCCTATATCAGCATGTTCTGTCGAAGAGTGTCAGATATAGACCACCGATTAACTGTCCAATGAGATTGAAAATAGCCGAAGAAAGTGGAAGACAAATGGTACAATTGATGATCACAGATGCTTATCATTGGATCCGGAAATACCAATCAGTGATTAACAATCAAAAGGCAAAACTAGAAAGCATACTCATGACACAACACATGACAATGCTGACAACTGCAACTGCTACAACGAAGAAATGTCCTCAAGAAAAAGCTACTCAAAATCTTAGAGGTACCTTCAACTGGTGAAACAAACGACTGCGTTACCAACTTATCAAAGCAACCACTTACAAAAATGGAAGAATTTCTTCTTCAAAAACGATTGAATTACAACACAAGAGATGCTATGAAACCAGAATTCTTTACGGCATTAGATTCGTCACTGAAAGCATCAGGATTAAATGAGGTGGTCACTCGACAAGAAATACGTCAAATGATCATACCACTGACCAGGCGAATGAAACATCATGCTCAAATGAACACTCAAGAACAGAAAACATTAAAAAGGCTAAAAAATAGGAAAGATATCGTTATACTTCCAGCAGACAAAGGATGCACTACAGTAGTCATGGACAAAGAAGACTATATCAAGAAGGCAGAGGAATTACTCAAAGATCAAAGTGTATATCAACCACTTGAAATCAACCCTATCCAGAAGTTCGACAACCAGTTCAATAAAACCTTGAAGAAACTCATTCAAAGTAGAAGAAATAACAAAGCAAGACAAATGGAGAATGAAATCAGTCGTCTAGAAGGACGGTGAAAGCTTCTCCACGATCAGAGAAAACAATACAACCAAGACCATCCATCTGAGCTACAAATATTCTCCACTGCTTCAAGACGTCTGCTGTTTTTGAAGACAAGTAGGAAAGGTGATAATGTTTGAGTACATTCGTTAGGCAACCTTCAAATTTTTCATTGTTCGACTGGGTCGAATAGTTGGAATTGATTAGATGTTGAAGGATAGAACTTCTAATACGTTTTTATTTCACCCTTATAAACCCATAGTGGGATATGTTCTCTTATTTCAACCACCGTCTTTACTGAATGTTTTCTTTCTAATGTATCATAATCATTTTAACCTCTAATCTTATTATCCCTGTTCTACGTATACTATTCCATATTATAGTCAACCTGAAACAGCATTACGTTTATTAGGCAAAGCAATTTCTGCACCATCACGTAAAATTGATTATTATGATCGTTCTGAACCAGTTCAATCAAGATTGCATAAATCTCTTCGTCTTTGGACATTGTATACAGACTTAGAAGAGAGTTTTGGTACATTTGAAACAACAAAGGTAAATTTTTAAAAAATAAAATATTATTTTTTCTGTATGTTTATTGCTTAAAGATATTTATATGTATTGTTATTATTTATCAGGTATTGTAGTGGGCATCATTGATAACAATGGATATAAGTAGTATATTTTGAGAGGGTGGCAGGAACTATAGGGAATTACCAACAATGTGTAAGGATTCTGCCAAGAGCAACACAAGGAATAATGCAGGTGTATTACAGTGAATGCTGCTGATAAGAATTTATGAGGAACAAATCAAGAGAGAAACAGAAGGGGAAACGAAGCACGTTTTGCAAATGACGAGTTCAGTGCAAGGTGTACCTCATATGTAACGACTACCGTTCCAATTGTTGATGATAAAGATCCTTTCCGTCGTGTCTGTCTTCTGTCTCCTCATTGGTGTTGCTGCCTCTGGACGAGATGAAGACCCCGTGGCCTGCAGAGACCGAAGATGGAGACACCAAGGTCTTCCTTGGGGACTTCGAGTCGGTCGCTGAGCTGATGGGGCTCCGAGATCCAGGGGCGAAGGTCGTGGTGCTGGACATGTTGCTGAGGGGTAAAGCAAAAGCAGTGTATGACGGCGTGGAACGTGTTGATGGGAAGGAGACTTGTCGGAGAATGGTTGAACGCCTGGAGGCGGAGTTTGACAGCCCAACGGACACGGAGCAGGCGATGCAGTAGTTCCGCAGCACGAAACTGCGAACAAACGAAGATCCGTTGGTGTTGGCTGTGAAGTTGACCAAACTACTTCAACGAGCACTTCCCACGTTGGATGAGGACTCCCAACAACAGTTGCTGGCGGCACAGTTCACAGAAAGTGTCCCAAATGCCATCGCCCAGCAGTTACGACTAGTCAATGCGGCCCAATCCATGGTCATTAGTGAGATGGCCAAGGTGACCAGACAGCTAATGGGTACCGGAGTGGCGGCAGTGGAGTCACCGGAGGTAAATAACTGGCAAGAACAAATCAACAACCTTCAGGAAGAGGTAGCTGCACTTCGAATGAGGAGAGAGAAGACAGACACGACGGAAAGGATCTTTATCATCAACAATTGGAACGGTAGTCGTTACATATGAGGTACACCTTGCACTGAACTCGTCATTTGCAAAACGTGCTTCGTTTCCCCTTCCGTTTCTCTCTTGATTTGTTCCTCATAAATTCTTATCAGCAGCATTCACTGTAATACACCTGCATTATCCTTTGTGTTGCTCTTGGTAGAATCCTTACACATTGTTGGTAATTCCCTATAGTTCCTGCCACCCTCTCAAAATATACTACTTATATCCACTGTTATCTGCAACGCCCACCACAGTATGTCTTGGTTTCGAACCAAGGGCTACTGTTAGGTTGAGCTAAAAATAACATTTGGATATGGTACCACTTTAAGCGATATAATTCAAGCTTTATGGATAGTTATATTATAACGCAAGCTAGATAGGTAGTGAAGGTACGGTTGACACATAGAAGAGCACTACACACTCAACATTAGCTTAGGTTTCATGTGTTCCACCACTGTTGCCTTCATGGTGTCATCATGTGAGTGACATTGAAGTCAGGTGTAGAGTTTTAAGGAGGAGAGGAAAGTCAAATGATGAGGTTGTAAGCGTTTATCGGTTCAGCTTACTGAGACATCTGTTAAACATGCTTTACCTATCGTCTGCGTCGTTGCAGAATGTTGGCCTAGGCAGGTGATCAAACTAAAACATGACATGAGTGCGTGAAGTCCTTGACTGCTGATTAGAGCCATGTAGGGTGTTACAGACTAGCCGGTTGCGGTCTATGGGACAAGAGAAACCGGTGGTTGGCGACTTCAGGTGATATGACTGACAACTCACGTCGATGGCGCAGATCCATACACACATTACCACCATCTTAATCATCAGGCTGAATTCAGAAATCCTTCCTCGTTTCTCCTTGCTCTCCTTTACTACATTCTTCCGCTTTCGACTTGCTTGATGTGCTGAGATAAGGTGTGGCAACTTGAACCATCACACTATAATGCAGTAATGTCCATCAACGATGCCCACTCTCCCTGTTCATATTCAATTTTATCATACATATTCTTATGCAGATCTCCCTTCTTGTCATCTGACCACCCACACATTGACCCAATCATAAGAGAATTTCCTGTTGACCTAGAATACACAGATGACATAGTCTTATTAGGTGAAAACACTGACAAGATGTAGAGTCTTGTGAGTAGCAATTTCAGAATGTTTAGAATGTGGTTGAACGCGTTGAACACTTCACTTATCTGAGAAGTCGAATCAGCCCTGGTGCGTTGGTCAGTTGCCGACAAAATCTCTGCACGGATACATAAGGCTCGACTGGTTTTTGCTAACTTACGCCATCTGTGACACCGTCACAATATCCGATGGTCTATTCAGAGTTGAGTGTACAATGCTTCAGTTCACTTTGTTCTACTGTATAGCTAGCTGTGATTGAAGGTAGAAGACATGAGACAACTTGAGGTGTTTGACCACGGTTGCCTTTGTAGTATAAGCTGTATCTCATGGTGTCACGATGTGAGTAACGCTGAAGTCAGGTGTAGAGCTTTAGAGAGGAGAGGTGAGACATTTGAGGCGGTTGTAAACCTTCATTAACCGAGATGGCTGGCTCTCACATGTGTTGTGTATGCCTAGCCACCGAGGCTCGAGGTAAGCAGAGTAAAACATGGCACCATTTGCATGAAGTCGACTGTCGATTTGAGCTATGTGGGTTAATGCAGGCGAGGTGCGGGATAAAAGAAACCAGTGGTCGGAGACTCTATTTGATGATGATGTGGCTGAGAACCAATGTCAATGGCACAGATGTCTGTACACATTATCCTCATTTTTAACTGGTATACTTAATCTCCGTGTTTTCTCATTTCTCGTTCCTCTCTTTTATCACTTTCTACTTCTTTCGACCAACTTGTCTTTCTTTCTTCATCTTTCATATTATTGCTTTGTTGTTTTTTATGTTGACCGTGGAGTGTGGCAACTTGTACCGCTGTGCAATAGTCTCGGTTCCTATGTTGATCAGCGACCCACCATAACTGTGGAATATTTCAAACTGTTACACCTCATATATCAGTATATTAAGATGCTAGACAACATATTGAAGGCTAAACAAATGTAAATTATACAATTTAAAGTCTCAGGAAACTGTACAACCAAAAGATAGGAGAGTCTTGGTTGTATTGTGTTCTCTGAGCTGGGTCGTTTAATTGTGCAGAAGTTTTCATCGTCTTTTTAGACAACATAACCGTCAGCACTACCTTCACTATGAAGTGAGCCGTTAATATCTCTCTGTGAGTAATTTAGTAGATTGCCCTGACGAAGTGGTTTGTGATTGGTTGTTTCCTTCGATTGTGTCATTGACTGACTGTATAGATTTTCCTCTTGGCTTTTCTTCTACTTGACTTCTCACCTTTCTATCGTTGATCATTTTTCTTATTGATTGATAGATTGGGTCTATCATATCTATACGTTTATTGATTGTTGACTGACTGACCTGAATGCCAAGCTTCTAGGAATTCTCTGATATTCTTTGTGTTTCCTCTCTCCGTCCGCGATTTCTATATTGTCAATTCAATTCAATTCATGTCCATGGTTGGCATCCACGTGGATTGAAATGACTGATGAAATGTCGTATGCGACGTTTAATAGAATATTGGTGTTCACGTAGACGAAGGTGAAGAGGTCGACCACTTTGTCCAATATGCTGTTGGTCACAGTTAGTTATTGCAGTTGATTTTGTAAATGATATTCGGTTTATCTTCTTTGGTTGTTGTATCCTTTGATATGCATAATAGTGTTTAGAGGGAATTTGTTGGTTTATGAGGTGGCACACCAATTCCACCAATTGGTCTCAGTAATCTTGTCATGATTTCTGATCTATTCTTTATGTATGGTAGGACGATGCCTTTATTGGTTTCTGTCGATGACTTTGTAGTTGTTGATGTATGGGATAGGGATCTTGTGATAAAGTTTTGTGGGTAGCCGTTCTTCTCTAGGATGGACATTAAGTAATTTTCTTCATTTCTTCGTGAAGTTGCATTGTACTTCAGTGTGTTCTCGCTTCTTTGAATAAAGTTTGAACGCGTTGGATTTGTTGTTACTGTAGTTGAGGATTTGATCAGTGTGTGTTAGCTTTCTGTACAGTCGAGTTTCCAACTTTCCTGTATTTGTCTTACTGACTAAAATAACGAAATGTTTAACAACGACTAGTGTGAAGATTAGCCATATATATATCATTAAGATAGATTCTCAGTCGTTTTCTTTCACTTAGAGTCTCCACATCTCTTTGGTGATAAGTGTTAGCAGTATGATCTAACTTTATCCTCTATCGGCTTGTGGTTAGTTGATGCAACGTTAAACAACGTCTCTTTTTATGCCTAAAGTTTATGCTGACCAGAAATATATGGTTATCTGTATACAATTATAACAGACGAATACGATAGGGATTTCGAAGGTATTAATCAACTATTTTCCTTTTTCAATTACGTCTTCTATTGATGATGGAGTGAAGTTTACTCGCTATGATATGATCATATTTAAACTTTTGCTCAAAATTCATTCTTCACTACTTCTGTATTACAGTTACTGGTGGCGTAAATAAACAGACTACAGAAAGATAATGATGTATATTATTATCCTCTCTAGAAAGAGCTGCTTTTACTCTTAAGACTTTCTGTGGAACTTTCACCTTGTTTGACTTTAAGAATTTGTTGAATAGTTTCGAAATACTTGATCAGTAAGTTTTTCCAGATCCATCATATTCACTATTTGCCCATCTCATATCTTTAACCTAAAAGTTTCGACTAATAATGCTTGTTGCCGAATTTATTGAAGGGTGTGCTTTGGAGGGGTAGTTTTAAGTGACCAGGATTACTTTTTTGTAAACTGGAATCGTTTTCATAGGCTATGGAACTGGAGGGAGTTAAAGATTGATTAGAATTATTAGCAAAGAAATATGAAGAAAGGTTACCAGATGACGATGTCGAAGGTTGGTTGTAACTAAAAGGGACGTAAGCTTAAACGCGGTTGACACTTCTTGGATGCTTATACCATGTAGGTGGAATCATACTATGAGTAATCTTGAAGTCAGGCAAAGAGTACTAGACAAGAAAGTTAAATCGATTGATATGGTTGTGAACTTTATTCAATTGAGATGGTTTGGACATGTACTACACGTGTCGATGTATCGCCTACCTCGATATGCAATAACTAGGAGAAACTGGATTTGATTGGAAGAGAGGCCTGTTAGTGAACATGGCTAGAAATCGTTCACAGTGGCGTAGATGTATTTACTCTTCGATGTCTTCTAAAGCTTGAATATTTAAGCTAACCTTTTTACTTTCAAATTGTTTATAGCCTCACACATCTAATCTACTACTGTGAAGTATGGTAACATAAGCCTATACACATATGTTTACGATGTTCTACGTTGATTTTGTCAATCATTTAGAAGGAAAGCTCAAACTATTTCAGTTATTTAAATATACCACTATGAAAAAAACGTTTTTATCATGAATACCACATCAAGGGGATAATATTTTAGAATTTTTATTTTATTTTTCCTTTGGGTTCCTAGTGGAACATAGGACTTCAGTAGAACGTCGCCATTTTATTCTATTCTCTGCAGTCTTTCTCCTTAACCTGACTTCACGACTGCCCATAACTTTTCATTTCTTCCTCACACCATCTCCATGTCACCTTCAAATGCCAAACTCATCTTCTTCCATTTGGGTCCCACTCGAGGGTGTGACTTAGCGCATGATGTCCCCGAATGGTCTTCTGATGCATGCATGCTCAATCCATATCCACTTTGTTGTGGATATTTGTTGGGCGATGAGTTCCTTGTTGTTTATTCTTATTATTGTGGCCATCTGATGGATCTTCTTGTGTTAGTATGGTGTGAGCGTAGGTGGGAGGTGTTGATGATGTATGTCTATAGTTTATTGGAAATACTGTTTGTAACGCACCATGTCAAAACCTTAAAATATAGTCGAAAAGTTGTTTCGTTAAACAGGATTTCAATTTATTAGTCATGTCTTCAATAAGGATATCAGGATTGTTCTCTTCCTATCTAGATTGCTATGTTAAGTTTTGAAGTTAAACAAGATTGAATGATTTACGCACTGTTCATCACATTTTTGTTTTTTATATTTATTTTTCAACAATCTCTACTATTCTAGGCTGCTTATGATAGAATGATTGATCTGCGTATAGCAACTCCTCAAATTATTATGAATTATGCCTTATTCTTAGAAGAATTGAACTATTTTGAAGAAGCATTCAAAGTGAGTTATTGTCTGCTATTCTATAATTTATTTCTTCACAAATTAACTCCAACTGATTTTAACTGTCGTTGTACCTTTAACTTTTGTTGTCTTGTTTACTTTTCACTCCCTCACTCACTCACTCGCTCACTCACTCACTCACTCTGCATCTCACTCACTGTGCAACTCACTCATGCACTCTGCAACTCACTCATACACACACAGACACACACTCATTGACTCACACACTCGTTCACTCTCCAACTTACTCATTCACTCACTCACTCACTCACTCACTCACTCACTCACTCACTCACTCACTCACTCACTCACTCACTCACTCACTCACTCATGCACCCTACAACTCACTCACTCACTCACTCTGAAACTCACACACATACACGCACCCACTCACACATACACACACTCACTGACTTACTCACTTGCTCACTCATTCGCTCACACACATACTCTCTCCAACTCACTCATTCACTCTTCAACCTACTCACTCACTCACTCACTCACTCACTCACTCACTCACTCACTCACTCACTCACTCACTCACTCACTCACTCACTCACTCACTCACTCACTCACTCACTCACTCACTCACTCACTCACTCACTCACTCACTCACACGCACACCCACTCACTCATTCATTCTTCAACTTACTCACACACTTATACACTCTACAACTCACTCACTCGCTCTGCATCTCACACAGACACGTACACTCACGCACTCTGCAAATCACTCATTCATTCAATCAGCAGCAAATGAAGAGATAAGACAATGAAATGAAATGAAATGGGAGTTCGATTGAAACAATATCGAAATAGATCAGATTACACTGACGATATTGCAACAAAAAAAACGATGAGATTCGGTCAGTATTCAAGACTGAACAATATGAAATTGATTATTTTCTAGTAGTAACCAATCAATGTACAATAATTAGTTGAAGTATACTTGATTCCAAATTTTATATCTTTCTTTCTTTGGTTCATTTTAACTGAGGGGGAATACATTTTATTTTAGTCTGTTTATTAGAAATATCACACACAGTAGTTAAGGGACAGTATCATTTACTGGATGGTAAACGTTTCGGATACAGTTGATTGTCGATATTTATATCATCAGGTAACTAACTCCACAACTTTAAGATAGAGTTTATATAGTCCGAATTCTTTCTCTCTTTTTTTGTGATGACAAGGATAGTAGAATTCTCTAAATATCTGAAATAGGTGTATAATCATTCTTGTGTTGATTCGATAAACAAAGATTCAGTCAGTTATCAATTTCTCCCTTCCTCCACCGAACTAAGTAAGTTTCTATTTGACACTGTCAGTCTATCCCATCCTATTGTGTGATTGTGTGTAACTACATGCAGAGCTGTAGTCGACCTGTTTTCAAAATTTCTTATCTTATTAGGATGTACTAATCTCTTGATTTAGCTAAGTTTTTGCTTGTCAACATTCTTCATAGTATTTATTTATGAGCATTTTCTCTCTCCTACTTCTTCTTCTTCTTCTTCTTGTGGTTAACTTACGCCAGGTATGTCGACCAAATATTCACACTGCGCCAGGTTTTGAAACATAAACATGCTTACCGATGCCGGACAATAGCTGCATTTTTCGACCTGAAGGCGGCGGCATTTGACTCCGTTAACCGAGAAGTTTTATGGCAATGTCTCCCACTGAAAGGCGTGCCGACTAAGTACATCAGCTTATTGAACGTTCTCTACTCGAACCCTTGTGGGCGTGTTAGAGCCTATGGTGAGATGGTCGAGGAAGTGTGGTCATTGAGTGGTGTCCGTCAAGGATGCCTACTCTCTCTATTCCTATTCAATTTTCTCATAGATATTCAAATGGAGGTCTCCCGGTCGTCACCTGATTACACAGAGGTCGACGTAATCGTGGTTGAATTTTCGTTAGATCTAAAATATGGAGATGAGATAGTCCTGTTAGGTGAAGTCTCCTGAAGACTTTGAGTTGTAATTTAAGAATGTTTGAGATGATATCCTCACCAGTCCACTTCAAATTGTTACTCCACGATTGGTGTTCAACGGTGCCTTGGCTAACAATAGAGAGTGAAGTGTTTGAGTGTGTTGACCACTTCACTTACCTGGGAAGTTGAATCAGCTGTGGTGCGTTGGTCAGTGGCCATTGAAATCTCTGCACGGATACAAAAGGCTTGACTGGCTTACACCAACTTACACTACCTGTGATATCGCCACCGTGATATCGAGTTATGTATTAAAGGTCGTGTGTACTGCACAGCATTCCGCTGTGTTCTACTGTGTGGCTGTGAAGCATGGCTGTTGAAGGTGGGAGACATGATAAGGTTTCAGGTGTTTGAGCAGGGTTGCCTTTGTAGTATAGGCCGTATTCCGTGTTGTCACAACACCACATGAGTAATGCGGAAGTGAGTCTGAGGCGTAGAGTTATAGGGCGAAGAGGTAATTGAGTTGACGAGGTTGTGAACCTTGATTGACTGAGATGGTTGTCTCCGACATGTGTGTTTCGTATGTCTATTCACCGATTGCCTCGTCACAGAATGTTGTCGAAAGTAGGTTGAGGCTGGTAAAAGGCTCGAGGCACTCTGCCGTACTAAAACATGGCACCAATATATGAAGTGTTTGATTGTTGGTTTGAGTAATGTGAGGGCGATGTGAACTGAGTGGTTGGGGACGGCGGGACAAATGGAACCAATGTTTAGAGAATTGATGTCAGTGGCGCAGATGTATACATACATTATCCTCATCTAAACGATGTTATACCGAATTTCACCACTTTCTCATTCTTCCTTTCTCTCTTTTCGCACTCTATATTTCTTTCGGGTGATTTCTTTTTTCCATCTTCTTCTTGACTGCCATTTCATTTGATGTAGTGATATGAGGTGTGGCGGTAAGTTGAACCCTTACGCAGTAATGCCTTGTCCTAGGTTGATCTAGATGCATAGACGGATTGTAGTATTTTCTAGTTTGACAATTCGAACAAGTAGACTTCAATACAAGTCATCTTATGTTGTTTCCTTCGTGTTTTTGGTGAAGAATAATTTGTTAAAGGGAAAAAAAAAACAATAATTGAAAACATTTCCTGCTCTTTTTTTTGTTTTTGTTACATTAGGCATATGAGAAAGGTGTTGCATTATTTCGATGGCCAAATGTTTATGATATTTGGGCTACTTACTTGGCCAAATTTATTGAACGTTATGTAAGTTTCCTTTTTGTTTGTTTCATTTACTAAAGTTATTCCTGTATGTGTGTGTGTGTGTGTGTGTACTGGAGTAGTTTATTTCATGTCCATGGAATTGTTCAGCTGTCTGTGAATAATATGAATAAAACGCTTTATCATTGTAGTCGGTTATTTGATTGGTTAGGTGGGAATGTTAAATGATTGTAGACGATATATACAGGTGACCTTGGATCTTGGTTTTATACGTATTGAGACTTGTCAAGCTCAGACATACAAGTTTGCATCATTTGTTGCCTTAATCAAAGACATTAAATTGGATGAATAGGTCTACGTCGACATCACTATCTTTGTCATTAATAGCTTTTCCATATTGTTTAGATCAGTATAAGACTGGATTTTTGGCATTTGTGCCAAAAGTAGAAAACAGGAGGGAGTTACAGGGTTTCACTCATAAGTGTCTTTGTAGAGTTGTTGGAGTTAAATGGAATCACTGTGTGAGAGATGTTGAGGTCAAGCGAAGGGTACTAGGGAAGATTAGCAAGTTGACTGATGGAGTTATGAACTTGAGTCGACTGAGTTGGCTTACGCAGTTATCACCTACCTCAATATGCAGTACTATGGGAAGCTGAATGAAGTTGGATGAAGGTTTCATGATGGCAAGATGAAAATGTGGCACCTGTGCATGGAATCCTCGACTTTCCTTTGAAATCTTACCTGTGGAAATGCACTCAACTATGACGTCATCTTTTAGCCGAATGCTTCTCAGATCATTAACAAACAAGTTAATATTCGAATTATCATAATTAATTCAATTGTATAACAACATGTTACCTTTATGTACCACACTTTCATTGAGAAGATGGAGCTTAAAGGTTTAAAAAAAACCTGTTACTTTCAAGCATAATTCTGTGACATCGCTTCCATTAGAGGTTTACTGTTTCTCCATCAATTTGAAGTTGTCATCGTGACCTTGAGCCGTCATCATTATTCAATACTTTTATTTAAGTTGGACACTTGGAAGTACTTACAGTCATTGTTTGAATGAGTTTATTATGACTATTATTTGTCCCATGGGTTCTTAGTTGAACATAGGACTTCAGTAGCACGCCTCCATTGCACTCTGTTCTCTGCAGTCTTTTTCCTTAACCTGGCTTCATGACTGCCCATAACCTTTCATTTCTTCCTCACACCATCTCCATGTCACCTTTGGACGCCAGACTCGTCGTCTCCCATTTGGGTCCCACTCGAGGGTGTGACTTGGCGCATGATGTCCCCCAGTGGTCTTCTCATGCATGCATGCTCAATCCATCTCCACTGTGTTGTAGATATTTGTTGGGCGATGAGTTCTTGATTGATTCGTTGCCACGAGGGAGTGAGTTCCTTGTTGTTTATTCTTATTATTGTGGCCATCTGATGGATCTTCTTGTGTTAGTATGGTGTGGGCGTAGGTGGGACGTGTTGATGATGTATGTCTGTAGTTTGTTAGAAATGCTTCTCGTAATGCTCCAAGTTTCTGAACCATACAGAAGCACTGACTTGACATTAGTGTTGAAAATCCGAGTCTTGTTCACGCTTTATGTTGAGAGCAGTAGATGTCCACAATAGTTTCAGATTAATCAAAAACCTGTCTTCCTTTTCCGATCCTGGCTTTGACGTTTTCATGTGTGCCGCGGGCACCCGTAGTTGAAACGATACTCCTTGCCTAGTGAAATGAAAGAGACAACTTCCTTTAGGTTTCTGCCGTTGATAGTGATTGGTGCTTGTTGTTGTTGTTGCTTGGCTATCTTCATCATCTCTGTCTTCTCTTCGTTCATGTGAACGAAGTCCCGTCTTCGCTGCCCTGCCTCTTCTGTCAACTTGTTGGTTTTGTCTGTTGATCTTCGAGATTGTGCGACGATATTAGACATAAATCATCATCGGCGATATCCAAATCTTCTTCTAGAGTCTTTTCATCTATCCAGCTAGCGTATGCCCATCTTCTCACTCCTTATAGTTTGCTGCATGATCCAGTGGACCACCATCAGGAAGATCATGGGTGATAGTAGGCATCTTTGTCTTACTCCTATTTTCACTTCAAAGGCATCACTGACCTGAGGTTTCCATTGTGAATCACTTGGCATGTAGCATCATTTAGCATATAGCTGTTGAATGAGGTTGATAAAGGTTTTTGGCACTAAAACCGTAGTGTTGAAGCAATTGCGTGCCAAATTACCTCTCAGTTGACGCTATCGAATGCCTTTTCAAAGTCAATGAAGTTGAGGTAACGATCCAATTTACTGCCATTCTACGCTCTGTTCTATGATGATGCGTAGCGTTACAATTTGAATCGCGCATGATTTGTACACCATGAGTAGGATTGGTTTTATAGGGTAAGGTTGCTAGCCCTATGCCCAACCTTCCTTTTTATGTGGGCTAGTGGACTAGTTATCTAGGCGACGTTCTTTGAATAAGTAGTATTTTGTAATAGTATTGTATTATATTGGCGCTAATTCATTTTATTTTATGCAGTTCAGTGATACTTATATTTTTTTAACCATATCAAATACTATCTTATCATGGTTGACATTTTACACCTCATCTGATTAACCTTGAACAGGTTTGACGATCTAAGTGAGTGACTGACAGAATTATTCGAAATATAGGAACGCCACTAAACACTTGAACTGGATACAAATAGTGACTGTTCTCCCTCATGAAAATCAGTAGACAGATATCAATCTGCCACTTTAATTGACAAAAAAAATACTTCAAGTTGTTATTCATCATAGACTGACATCAGTTTGAAGAACAAAGGAAACCTGGGCAGCTGTTTCGTCCCAGTGTGGGACTCCTCAGCAGTGCGCACCCACGACCCCGCCCCACCAGGGATGGAACATACGACCTTCAGGTCTCGCGGCCATTGCGTTACTATTCAGCTCCCAGTGCCCCCAGGTTTCCTTCGTTCCTCCAACTGATGTCAATTTACAATGAAATGAATAACAACTTGAAAAAAATACATCATTTAAATATTGTTTTCCAATAGGTCACAAGTTGAATCCCTATTTTAATTGGTCAGCTGTAAAAAAAATTTTCCAATAAAATCTCCTCCGCCCACGCACTCACATGATACAAGGCTGAAATATATATCCAATCATATGTGAAAGGCAATAAAAAGGATTTCAGTTATCCAATTGCATGGCTGATATTCATATAAGTAGAAATTAGACTGCTCGAAGGGTATTTGGATTGTTAGTGAGTGCGTGTTGCTCATCTTACTTGGAGACTCAGCCTTTATGCAATGTGTTCTGTGTTCTAAATCTGCTCTGTCTTCGTTAGTATCATGAGTTATCATATAGCCGTGATTTTTTTTTCCCCCAGCTTCTTTACATTTATTAAATGGGCATTCAACCATCGTATGTCATATCTACCAACAACTTTCATCTTGTCAAACTCCTTGTCTTTCTCATAGAATAGTACACAAAACTGCTCTATTAATGAAACTCTTGTACGTTTTTGTTCTACATAAATACAATTGCACAACTTTAAGAAGTGATATCATGAAGAAAGAAATTTCTTCTTCTTTCCCTAGATACAATAATGTATACAGATAGTATGCTTAGAAATGTTCAGTTATGTGTAATTTGTCATTATTATCTCATGTTCTAACCCCCGTATTCGATGTACCCGGGATTTGGAATAGTCATGTGACAGTCCATATATCGAATGGTTCCCGTCATGATGTATTCCATTAACCTATATATAGTTGTTAAGTTGTATTATTATTATTATTATTATTATTATTATTATTATTATTATTATTATTATCACTATTTTTCACCGACATTTACCAGATTGGTTAATGATGTTTAGCATGTGCAACTACTGTCAGTATCTTTCATGGGTTATTTCATAATATAAACATTTTTCAATTCATAGAGTTTGTAGGGATTTACTGATCCACTGACATCAGTTGAAGAAACATTAGAAACCTGGGTAGCATTGGATAGTTGTTTCATCTCAGTCTGGTACTTTTCAGCAGTGCGCGCCCGTGACCCAACCATATATTGAACCCAGGGCTTTCAGGTTCCGTGACCGATATGTCACCCTTGAGTCATTTGGTCGGAATTCACTCCCTTCTTGTGTCATAAGCGGGTAACTGTCGAAGAAGTTTATATATGAGTAAGAATGAGCTTCTCAGTGCGCCCCCGGGGGGTTTTCATTGTTTCTACAACTGATAATCACTCAATGATGAATAAACATTTTTGCATTTTACCCTTATTATTGTGTTGTGCTTTTTGTTCAACGAGTGATAACTATTATTCTTGTCTATTTTTATTTTTATAGGGTGGCAATAAATTGGAACGTGCTAGAGACTTATTTGAGCAATGCCTAGAGAAATGTCCTGCGAAATATGCCAAAGGTATGCATATATATATATATATATATATATATATATATATATATATATATATACGCAGATTGGCTTGCATTTAATTCATGTAATCGACTTTTATAGGTGATACGATTCAAGATGATGTAAACTTTAGTAAGAGTTAATCTATCCGCAAACTTGAGAAGTCCACCACCTTCTGAGGTATACAAGGATGGTGGTAAGTTGCTATTACATAGGTTAACGGAAGTATCAACTAGTATATGGGAATCAAATACGATCCCCTCTGACTGGACTGAATCACTGATTATCTCAGTCTACAAGAAAGGCTAAAATTCCTCTTCTGTTAACCACAGGGGAATCAGCCTGACGAACATAGTGTCCCAGATCCTAGGTTCTATAATTGTTCGACGCCTGAGTGGAGCTCAGGAACAGAAGTCCGAGGAAACTAGTCAGTCTTTAGACCCGGCTGCAGGTATGTTCACCAAATATTCACACTGCGCCAGGTTTTGAAACATAAACATGCTTACCGATGCCCGACAATAGTTGCATTTTTCGACCTGCAGGCGGCGGCATTTGACTCCGTTAACCGAGAAGTTTTATGGCAATGTCTCCCACTGAAAGGCGTGCCGACTAAGTACATCAGCTTATTGAACGTTCTCTACTCGAACCCTTGTGGGCGTGTTAGAGCCTATGGTGAGATGGTCGAGGAAGTGTGGTCATTGAGTGGTGTCCGTCAAGGATGCCTACTCTCTCTATTCCCATTCAATTTTCTCATAGATATTCAAATGGAGGTCTCCCGGTCGTCACCTGATTACACAGAGGTGGACGTAATCGTGGTTGAATTTTCGTTAGATCTAAAATATGGAGATGAGATAGTCCTGTTAGGTGAAGTCTCCTGAAGACTTTGAGTTGTAATTTAAGAATGTTTGAGATGATATCCTCACCAGTCCACTTCAAATTGTTACTCCACGATTGGTGTTCAACGGTGCCTTGGCTAACAATAGAGAGTGAAGTGTTTGAGTGTGTTGACCACTTCACTTACCTGGGAAGTTGAATCAGCTGTGGTGCGTTGGTCAGTGGCCAATGAAATCTCGGCACGGATACAAAAGGCTCGACTGGCTTACACCAACTTACACTACCTGTGATATCGCCACCGTGATATCGAGTTGTGTATTAAGGGTCGTGTGTACTGCACAGCATTCCTCTGTGTTCTACTGTATGTCTGTGAAGCATGGCTGTTGAAGGTGGGAGACATGATAAGGTTTCAGGTGTTTGAGCAGGGTTGCCTTTGTAGTATAGGCTGTATTCCGTGTTGTCACCACACCACATGAGTAATGCAGAAGTGAGTCTGAGGCGTAGAGTTATAGGGCGAAGAGGTAAGTGAGTTGACGAGGTTGTGAACCTTGATTGACTGAGATGGTTGTCTCCGATATGTGTGTTTCGTATGTCTATTCACCGATTGCCTCGTCACAGAATGTTGTCCAAAGTAGGTTGAGGCTGGAAAAAGGCTCGAGGCACTCCGCCGTATTAAAACATGGCACCAGTGTGTGAAGTCTTTGACTGTTAGTTTGAGTCATGTAGGGGCGATGCAGACTAGATGGTTGGGGTCGGTGGGACAAGAGAAGAGTACAAGAGAAATCAGTGGTTAGAAACTGACTGTAGGCGATATGACTGAGAACCGATGTCAGTGGCATAGATGTATCCACACACACACTATCCTCATCTTAACGATGTTATACCGAATTTCATCATTTTCTCATTCTTCCTTTCTCTCTTAGAGTACTTTATATTTCTTTTGAGTGAATTTTGTTTTCTTCATCTTCCACTTGACTGCCTTTTTACTTGATATGCTGATATGAGGTGTGGCGGCAAGTTGAACCGTTACGCAGTTATACCTGGGGTCCTATGTTGATAGAATATGATGATGATTAGTCAACCAGAATATGTTTTCGATCTACCATTTTTCAAGGTAATGATTAAAAATCACAAAGAAACATCGTGGTAAATAATGATGAACACTGAAATGCCCAACAATGCGTCGTATAACTGTATCCCTGAAGTTGTTGCTGTTGATATTCTGGGATAGGATTGATTGTTGATGCATAGTCTTATTTTTTTGATGAACGATGCAACACTTTACAATTGATTCAGTTGACACAAGTAGAAGATAATTGTTGGACGGAGTCGAGTTCACTTCAATCGAAGTACGAAGTTTAAAAAAAAACAACTCATGGATACAGTTCTTGCATTTATATTCAGTGAATGCGACCCTGAGGCAAACAAACTAAATAGGATATTATATGTAGGAGACTAACCAATAGGAAAGGAGCGTTTCTTAAAACCAGTGAAATTGAACATGAGCTGATGGAATATCGTCAACAGTTAGCTTGAGTTGCAGATTTTCCTGCTAACTAAAGGAAATTTCTGTCATTGAAACTTACGTTTACTTCTCAATTCATCATCGACTCCTCTAGACTACAAACATGTCTGTAGCTGGTTGGTGCGTTTCGTTGCTTCCAGACAATGCCGTGTTAAAAGTAGCCGATATGAAGCGATTTTTAGGGTTTCCATCATAGATGTCTTCGGTGCATTGCTGGTACTGAATGAAATCATCGTGTATGCAGCGTTGAGGTTAGACGAAGTGTTGTAGACATGACATGCAAATCAATTCATCAGGTTGTGAACCCTAATTGATTAAGATGACTTGGACGTGTAATTTGCAAGCCAAGCTCTCATCTACTGCAATGAGCCATCCCACGGGAAGTTGGACTAGGTCGTAAAAGGGTTCATAGTGGTCAAACCAAGACGTGGCACTAATCGATGAAGTTGGATCGACCCGTATGTTGAGATATAGAGTGCTTGGTTGCTATCTTTGAGATGGCAGGAATCGTACTGACTGACTGTACAAACCTCGTTTTCTGGGTAGAGATTAAACTCCAATGATTTATATGTTTGCAGGAATGACTTACTGTTCCACTTTTTGATACAATAACACACAAAGTGTTTATATGACAGGAAATATTTCAGTCGTGAAGGTAATTTACAAGATTTCATAGGTACTCAAGAATCAACTATCCAAAAGATTTAGAAGGACTTTCTTTTCCGCCTAGTTTCGGATTGTTTTCTCCAGTCAAAAACGAATTCGAATGTGTGTGTGGAAGGTTAACTATCGCTTTGGCCTACCTCTGTGTGTGTTCATTTCATATACTATTGTGAATCTGGTTACACAGGCCGTACTAAGCATTTCCCATCGAAATACATCTTCGACCATTATGCTGTATGGCTGTCTAAAGGAGAGCGTAAAGTCATAAACAACTTAATTTCTGAACATTTGGTTTACTGCGGTCACTATGCACAACGAGAGTCTTTTTTCAAAGTCATCTGTTGAACGAAATCAATCATTTCCGAGGGAGTACGTATTGTTTACTTCAACGCAGCAGACAACTTTAGCAATCCAGTGGTATAAGTTTTGGTCTTTACGTTGAAAAGAGACATTTTCAACCTCTAATTTCACGTTGGTTGTAATCTCCCTTAGGGTTTTTGTCCATTTCTTTATTTATTGTAAGTGTATAAGCAATTTTTGATGACCTTGGCTTGACCTTCAAACCATTATCACCTTTTGTCTTTGTTGACCATTTTTGATAACTTTATACTGACCCGTTCATGGGTATGCATTTTGTTGTAATTATAGTTACAATCTACTTGGTTATGGCTAGAAGGGAAATCTAGAATGTGTGTTTCGTCTTTTTTGGGACTCGTCAGCTAAGGCTTGAACCTCGTACTCATCGCATAAAACGCCAAAGGTTGGCGTCTGTGTAGGAACAGCATCACTCAGTGGAGTGCAGGTATATCTAGTTGACGAGTCCCAAGCAAGACGAAACACGCGTGCTTGATTCCTCTGCTAGTCACAACCAGCTAAAATATGATCATAAATATTCAGGCAATATCGAGACATCTGAATAGGAGCCTCTCTACCAACAGAGGTCGAATGAGTCTGTTTCCTGATGCTTAACTTATCTGTCACACTTTCTGGTAGGCTATAAACAGTAGTAATTCAATGTATCTGTATGTTTCATGAATTGATGGGTCCTGGATCTATCCTTAACACAAGATCTTAGATGTGCCCAAAACTGGGACGAAACGATTGCTCAATACTCCCAGTTTTTTTTATTTCTTTCCAAACTGATGTTAATCTGTGATGCGAATTCCTCTGATATCGACCACTTCTCTGCAGATATTTGTCATCATCATGGTCAATATCAAAATCGTATCAAGCAATACTGTGTAGTGATCTAAGTTGCCTCACACCTCATATCAGTACATCAAGTAATAAGCCAATGAAGTGGGAGATGAATAAAAAGAGGAAAACCGCCCAGAAGAAGTAGAAGTGGAAAGTAGTTAAAGTGGAGGGAGGAAGAATGAGATGATGTTATCGGTTCTGAGTCGGCTACTGATTTCTCTTGTCCGGCAGATCCCAGTCGGCTAGTTATACATGCTTTAAACTAACAGTCAATGACTTCATGCATTCATGTCGTGTTCTAGTCTGACCGCCTCGAACCTTCCTCCAGCCTGAACCTACTTCGGCCAACATTGTACGGTGCGGCGGATGATGGCTAGGCATATGCAGCAAATATCCCATGCATCTCAGTTAATGAAGGTTTACAACCACCTCAAATGTCTCACCTCTCCTCTCTAAAGCTCTACACCTGACTTCAGCGTTACTCACATCGTGACACCATGAGATACAGCCTACACTACAAAGGCAACGATGGACAAACACCTCAAGTTGTCTCATGTCTTCTACCTTCAGACGCCATGTTTCACAGCTAGCTATACAGTAGAACAAAGTGAAATGCAGCATAGAGCACTCAACTCTGAATAGACCATCGGATATTGTGATGATGCCACAGATGGCACAAGTTAGCAAAAGTCAGTTGAGCCTTTTGTATCCGTGCAGAGATTTTGTCGGCAACTGACCAGCGCACCACAGCTGATTCGACATCTCAGGTAAGTGAAGTGTTCAACGCGTTCAACCACATTCTAAACATTCTGAAATTGCTACTCACAAGACTCTACATCTTGTCAGTGTTTTCACTTAACAAGACTATGTCATCTGTATATTCTAGGTCAACAGGAAATTCTCTTATGATTGGGTCAATGTGTGGGTGGTCAGATGACAAGAAGGGAGATCTGCATAAGAATATGTATGATAAAATTGAATATGAACGGGGAGAGTGGGCATCGTTGACAGACATTACTGCATTATAGTGTGATGGTTCAAGTTGCCACACCTTATCTCAGCACATCAAGCAAGTCGAAAGCGGAAGAATGTAGTAAAGGAGAGCAAGGAGAAACGAGAAAGGATTGCTGAATTCAGCCTGATGATTAAGATGATGATAATGTGTGTATGGATCTGCGCCATCGACGTGAGTTGTCAGTCATATCACCTAAAGTCTCCAACTATCAGGTACCTGTTACTATATGGACTAGCATTAGTATAATTTATTTCTATTTTCTTTTTGCATTTCAGCTTTACATTTGTTATATGCTCGTCTTGAAGAACAACATGGACTAGCTCGTCGAGCTATTCGGATTTATGAAAGAGCTACAGAGTCTGTTCTTCCTGAGGAAAAATTTGAAGTGAGTTATATTTCTATTACTATAATGATTTCTAGTTGATTGTGTATATTGTAGATATTCAGTACAGCTAATCAGTTGTTATGATGATTTAGATATGCGCTGAATCTTTGTTGATTGGTACTGAAACTGACTATGAAAAGGTTGAATAAATGGTCAGGTAGTTAGTTGTGTACTTTAAATATTATCCGTTAAGGATATCCACTCTGTCTATTCTTGGGTGACTGACAAAAGCAAAGTAGAACCTCGCTAAGAGGTGCATCAACTTAGGTTAGCACACTTCACATTACTATACAAAGAACAAGGGAATAGAAAATGAAGGTTAGTGAGAATATTCAAGTTCTAGACGATGTCAAAGACTGAACATATTTGCGTCATTGTGATCGATTTCTAACCATGTCACCATTCCTATCATCTGAAGGATTCCAACTAGGCAGTGTACATCTCCCCATATGAGTCAGATCAACATTCAGAGACTTCGATTAGTGAGTGCCAGGTCTTGGTCTGGTCAACGTGAACCCTCTTCCAACATAGTCCAACTTCCCTTAGAGATGGTATGTCGAGATGTGGTCGGCGGTTTGGGATAAGCAGTACATAGGCAAGCCATCTTAGACTTTGAACCTTCACAATCTCATCAATCGATTTGCCCTTCTTGCCTAGTACTCATTCTTACTTAATATTATCATAGACATTCTTTTGTGTGTCTCCATCTCGTCGTCTCATTTTCCAGAGATTGATCTTATCATAAGAGAATCCTTAGTAAATTGGATGCAAATAACATAGTTTTGTGAATTTGAGGATGTTTCGGATGCATTTTCTTGGTTGAGCATGTCAACCATTTCACTTACCTGTGAAGTGAGATCACTCCTGATGGCTCAGGAGCCGATTAAATTTCTGTATGAATACGAAACATGCAACTTGGCCATTAAATGTAGGAGATATTTTGAAGGCTTCAGGCCTTCGTAGCCTAGGCCCATGAATCATATTATCACCACTTTAGTAATGTTGCAATCAGGTGTACACATAGATATATAGGTAAAATCGATTGTGATGGCGGGGACATATATTAACGTATGCCTAGTCACCGATTGCGTCGTCACACAATGTTAGCTGAAGTAGGTCCAAGCTGGAAAAAGGCCCAAGGTGGCCAGACTAAAACATGGCATCAATGTATGAAGTAGTTGACTGTTGGTTTGAGTCGTGTGGGGCGATGCAGACTAGGTGGTTGGGGTCGGCGGGACAAGAGGAACCAGTGGTTAGAGACTGTAGGTGATTACATGGCTGAGAAGCGATGTTAGCAGCGCAGATGTATACACACATTATCCTCATCGTAACCACGCTATGTCGAAACTCACTATTTTCTCATTCCACCTTTCTTTCTTCTCGTGCTTTATATTTCTTATGATTGCATTCTCTTCATCTTTCACCTCACTGCCTTTTTACCTGATGCACTGATATGAGGTGTGGTGGGAAGCCGGACCGTTACGCAGTAGTACCTGGTCCTATGTTCATGTTGATCATGATTATATTAACGTGTACCTACTTTCATGATACAGTTTAAGCTGAAATTAGTTTAGGCTGTAAAAAATAGCTCAGAACAGCCAGACCAAAATGTGATACCAGTCACTGAACTCTCTGAGATTTAATCTATGCGATGGTTTGTAATTCTAGGTGTTATTATTATTATTATTTGTCCCTTGGGTTCCTAAGGGAACACAGGGCTTCAATAGCACGTCTCCGTTATTACACTCTCTTCTCTGAAATCGTTTGAACCTGTCTCCACGACAACCCACAAGCTCTCATTTCTTCATCACACGATCTCCATGTCACCCTCGCCTCGGACGCCCAACTCGTCGCTTCCCATTGGAGTTCCACTCGAGCGACTGGCCTGACGCGTGATGTCCCCAGTCGGCCTTCTCAGTGTATGCCCAATCCACCTCCACTTCCCTCCACTACATATTTGTTGAGTGATAGGTTCTCGGTTGGTTCGTTGTCAGAGCGAGTTCGTTGTTGCTTACACTTACTATTCTGGCCATCTGATCTTCAGTAAGGAACCGGTGTAGGCGGCGGCAGTTGTTGATGAATATCTGTAGTTTGATGGAAGTCTCTTTCGTAACACGCCAAACGACGAGTTGGGCTTCCGAGGCGAGGGTGACATGGAGATCGTGTGATGAAGAAATGAGAGCTTGTGGGTTGTCGTGGAGACAGGTTCAAAAGATTTCAGAGAAGAGAGTGTAATAACGGAGACGTGCTATTGAAGCCCTGTGTTCCCTTAGGAACCCAAGGGACAAATGATGAAATGATGATAGTGCTTATTACTGACATATGCTGCTTGCAGATGAATATCACAAAGTTCTAATGAGAAGCCGTAATGTGTGGGGTCAACCAGTTGGAAGGGAAGCTGATACCAACTGAAGACGTTAGGTGATAGTCGCGCTATATCGTGAATTGACAGAAGTTGTAAACTGTGAACCACTGGAAATCGACTCAGTGGTTGAATAATTAACTCGTTCACAATAAAAGTGCAGAGATTCAATCGCTAGTCGGCTCGTGGGTGCGTACTGCTAAGGAGTGTTATACTAGCACGAAACAGCTGTCCAGTTTTCTCAAATTTCCAATGACTCTCCAAGTAATGCCAGTCCGTGATGATTACTTGTTCTAAGAATTATAGAACACTACTTAGCTGACTGAGGATGCAGGAACGATATAGTTCTTTGACTATAGGATCTTCGAAGCATGTTGAATGATAATATTTAAGGATTTTCAGTAAAAGTTTCTTTGTCAAACAAATGCAAATATTAGGAGAAGACATATAAGCGTGAACAAGATTGTTATCAATCAACTCTTATCAAGCTTTACGCTAATATACATAAATTTTCTCAACTATATAAAACATTAAACCAAATCCCGGTGAATTCTTTAGTTAAAGGTACGACTTCGCCCTCAGACCCCCATCATAGTGTAGTAATTTACACCACAACGGTAACTGGTTTCGTCTAAACACTATTCAACAGACCTTTTTGATGTGGTAGGATGTCGAGGGAACAAGTGTTTCATCAGTATAGCTCATTGGGTCGTTGTGATATGCGAGCCCGACCACCACGTCAATGGTAGCTGCTATCGGTCGGTTGATTTTTATAGTCCTATCACCTACCTCATATTCTTTGTTTCTGTTGGTAGGAAATTCTCCCACATTTCTCGTATAGATGGATGTTGCGTCATTCCTATTATGTGTGTCTGGTGTTGTTTGATTCGATGAACAAAGATTCACTAATCAACCTCTCCCTCTCTCTACCCAAGTATATTTGACTTGAGTATGATGGTTTTATCCCACCCACTCTACTTTGTGTGGTTGTCTGTTAGTGCGTTCATTGCAATAGCGGAGTTATTTTCTAGATTGTTGATCCTATTAGGGTATATCACTCTATATTTGGCTGAATTCCTTTACGGTGATAATTGAAGTAACTCCGACTGGTTAGTTTAACGTATGCACTTGACCCTGATTGCAGAACAAAACGAAGGACAGACGGTGGTCTGAATACTACAGTTTACAGGGAACCGACACATTCCAGCAGGGTATCTAGACTTCAAATCATCTTATCCAATGTCAGTCAGTTAAGGCAGGTTTACTCAAATGTCTGAATGATAGAGGTAGAAAACTGACTAGTCAGTGCAACGACCTAAACAAGGAACTGAAGCGCATAAAAGAAGCACCAATAGTTAATAATTATCCTCAACAGTTTATTAGGAAATTCGTACGAACACACAAGATGCGAAAAGATAACGGTAACATAAGTACGAATAATGACGAAAACATGTGTGGAAAGGGGTTCACAGCCTCCATTGTTTGACCATGTGAGGAAGGTACATGAGAAACTTTACATCGGATCCTCAACAAAGTTGCAATTAGGGTATCATTTAAACCCTGCAAACTCACTCATCGATAAACTTTGTCGACTGGCTTAAAGATTCGATAGAACCAATTCAACAAAATGATCTAATCTATCAAATTCTATGTAATGACTGTAAGGTTCAAGTACATAGGTGAAACTAGCCGGTTAGGGGTCAGTTAGAGTTGTGGAACACAGGAATTTTGCTAAATATAAAATCATAGACCCAAGTTGGATGAATAATCTAGAAAAACACTCGGCTATTGTAATGTATGCATGAATAGACAATTACACAAAGTAAGTTGACTGGTATGAAGCCACTGTATTGAGCTGTCCAACACAATTAGATGGAGAGACAGGGGGATTGATTACTGAATCTCTGTTTATTGAATCTACACCCAGTCAACACATATAATGGGAATGACTCAATACGTTTACCAGAGATAAAGCAATACTTAACTGTTAATAAAAACGAAGAATAAGAGGTGACAGGACTGTAAGAAAGGCAGATGTCGAAAGTGAAGTGTGAGATTACACATTTTTATGATTATGCGGAATGATAGTTAACGGTGAGTCTAAATTTATCTCCACGAATTAAATCGTTTTTTAAAGGCTTCAAGGAGTTTAACTTTCTTGTGACCGGGGACTGTATTTAATAACTCTGTGTGTGACGAGGCAGGTGGTATCTAGACCTGCGTAACACATGTTCCAATTACCTGATTCGATCCAGGTTCACAACGTCATCAACTGACTCACCTCTTTTATTTAAAACATGTGGTCTGTAGGTTTCCAACATACATGAAAAGCAGCGAGATCCGATGTAACGTTCTGGTTAATATGCGGATAATGTAACTATGCATCAGCGCCACTAACATCCGTTCTTTAGCCATATCATCTAAAGTCTTCAACAACCACTGGTTTCAGTTGTCACATATACCCTAACCTGTTAGTCTACATTGTACTACATGGCTCAAACAGATTTTTTCACAACAGTTTATCACTTCAAGTTGCTATTTCACATAATAGCATCTTAAAGAAGTACTCTCATAGTTGAAATGCATACCTTCAAATGGTTTAGTTGTGTTCAACCAATCATATATATCTGTCAAGAGTTGTCTGATTTTACTTGAATCTGATTGGTCAATTATGTTCGACCTAGAACATAAAACTTAGCCAATCATATTCGTTTGACAACTATGAATATTATCAATATTTAAACTCTAATATTTTTACTTGTATTGAATAGTCTTGTTTATATTTTCCGACTCAATTATTATTTCATTCCGTTTTAGATGTTCAATATTTACATTCAGCGTATTGCAGATCTTCATGGTGTAACACATACACGTTCAGCATATGAACAAGCTATTGAAAGACTACCAGAAGAGCATGCACGTCAAATGTGTTTAAGATTTGCTGATTTAGAAAGAAAATTAGGTGAAATTGACAGAGCAAGAGCTGTTTATGCCTATTGTGCTCAAATGTGTGATCCTCGAGTAAGCAGAATTATACTATTGCCAATAATAATAACAATAATAATAATAATAATGGTCAGCGCCATCGTTGGTTGTTTTCTTTATAGTGTACAGTTATTCACAGACCAACTATAGTCCATTCCACGTAGTTATGTACATCTTTATTGTAGTGAGAGGACTAGTCCTATAATTATAAGCTGAAATGATTAGCACTTTTTAGGCGGCCTTATAAAACTACCTCTAATCTTCACAAATTAGTTCATATTTTAGTTATCCTAGGTGATAATTTTCTGACTTCTTCTTTGAAAGCTTCTCTTCTCTACAGTCATTTTTCTTAATCTGGCTCTACAACTGCCCATAAGCTTTCAGTTCTTCCCCACGCCATCTCCTCCATGTCACTTTCAGACGCCAAACTCGTCGTTTCCCATTTGAGTTCCACTCGAGGGCTTGATCTGGTCTGGTGCGTGATTTTCCCAATCAGTCTTCTCAGTGTATATCCAATCTAATCCATCTCCACTTTCTTCTACTGCATATTTGTTGGGCAATGGGTTCTTGGTTGGTTAGTTGCAAGAGCGAGTTCCTTGTTGCTTATTCTTATTATTCTGGCTATCTGATGGATCTTCAGTGTCAATATAGAGTGAGTATAGGCGGCAGCTGTTGACGATGTATGTCTGTAGTTTGTTGGAAATGCTTTTCGTAACGCTTTACGTTTCTGAACCGTCACATAGAAGCACTGACTTGACTGACATTAGTGTTTAAAATCGGTCTCTTGTTCTTTATGCTGAGTTCAGTAGATCTCCACATAAAAGTTTGTACACGCTGCCTCCAATCATCAAATCATTAAAGGCTCAGAAGTTTACAAAGAGTTCTCTGCTTTCAGGACTTCACTTCTGCTTCTGTCGAAGGGCTTGTGTTCACTGGTAATTCTGTGACTGGGTTGCTTGTGGTATTTCTGGACGAGTTCCAGGTGGTGGTCGATCCATAAGCTTTTTGAAGTGATTGGCCCATTGTTTCCTGTGCTTTTCCTCTTTGGTAACTAGGTTTCCTTCATTATCTTTCATTGGTTTCGTCTGCGTTGATCTCTTCCCTTCCTGATAGTAACCTGGTTATTTGATATAGTGTTGTCAGTTCTCTCCTACCAGCTGCCTGTTATGGTTCACTTGCAAGTCTGTTGCAGAAGTGTCTTTTGTCTTTGCGCACACTCCTCTTCACTTATTTGTCCAGTGTTTTGTAGGTTGTAATCAGTTCTTCTTTTGGTTGTTCACCTCCTGCACTACACTGGTTCATCTACTGCTTCACCATATTCCGATCCTTCCTCTATCAACTTCGATATGTCTGTCAAGACCCATTCCATTCTTTACTTGGTTTCTTCTTCCTAATACATTTATGCAGGTTTCCTTCCACATAGCTTACAAAGAGTTCCAGTGTTCTTCCACTCAGGTTCCTTCAGGGATGTTATTCAATGTCTCTCATTTTGTTCTTATGGCTGACGTGAAGATGTTCTTTGTAGTTTCATCCTTCAGTTTCTGTTCTGGGTGTTGAACATGAACTGTGGTCTATCATCACCAACTTCTGTGAAGGTTTTCAACCTGATTTTGAAGGTGGGTTTCTTGCACTAGACAGTGAGTGGTCTGAACCTACATCTGCTCCCCTTCTTGATCTGATCTTGTGTCCAGTAGGCTGCATCTCCACTTTCTTCACATTGAGATGAAGTCGATCTGATTTTTAGTGTATCCATCTGGTGAAATCAACTCCATGTCGCTTTGTGAATATCCTGCCTCCAATCACCAAATCATTAAAGGCTCAGAAGCTTACAAAGAGTTCTCCGTTTTCATTCATTATTCCACCGAGTGCTTCGTGACCCATGATGAGTTCTCTTCCTGGGTTGTCCGCTCCCCGCAGTTTGGCATTCATGTTGCCTATTAGAATTTTGATATCGCCAACTGAGGTCTTGTCCAGTGTTCATTGCAGTTTTCTGTAGAATTCCCCCTTCTTCTCTTCATCTGCATTATCTGTAGGTGCGTAGCGTGGCACTGTATGATTGTGACTCTCCTTCCTTTTGAGTTGAATCTTGCTGTCATGATCCTACAGGAGTAGACTGGTTCCTGGTGCATGAGGAGAGCCTTTGATGCTGTTGGGGACATCGTGATAGCCAGTCGAAAACTTAGTGTGCTCGTGGTTGTTGTGTGGGTGACCGGAGTAGATTATTGACTCCTCACCAGTCGACAGTTTGGAGAGTCCAGTTCAATTCTATCTGCTCTCGCAGATTCCTAGCATTTCTAAGCCATACCTTCTGATCTCTTTTACAATCTGGGCAGCCTTGGTAGGTTCAAACATGGTGCGGTCATTCCATGTCCCCATGTTTACTTTCGCTTTCATCGAGAAGAGACATCTGTGAATTGGCTTCCCGAAGGTTTTCACCATCTGGCGTCATTTCGCCTCTCCGATCCCAGCGAGGAGTAAGTTTGTTTTTATGTTTTATATTTTCTCTGTGCTCTGAAGTTGTTTAGCGATTTGATTGGTTTTCCGGAGTAGAGTTGCTCAGCCTTCCCTCTTTATCCGAACTTTGAACCGGCTAGTAAACTAGGCGGAGTTGTCAATTTTTTTAATAAGCCTCAATAGTTATGCAGTATTCTCTGGTATCGATGTCTCCCATTTCTCTTTCTCATTCGTCACGCACCATTGTATACGATCATTGCGGATACTTTAAGTTGATTTACTTTTAAGGTGCTTTTGCTGCTCATTGTTATCCAAGTCTGTTAGAATGAGTCTTTCCAATCATAATCAATTAGGATAAAATTGTGCAGGTCCACTGAATATAGCTAAATTTTTTATGTAGGCTATCAACTATCTTTACTGTTGTTGATACACCCCAGACTTCATCAGACTGAGAATTCTTGTTATGTTCAGATAAATCTTTAATTTTCGTTTATCTATATACATCGTTCTTGGATCCTTTAAGAAGCATATCGGCAAATTTTTGTATTCATGCATGGTGGCAGTTCAAGCAGATACTCCAGTGATCCTTTCCAACAGTGGTCCATAACAATAGGACATATCTGTGCCCACCGTTGACCTAATGTCAGCAAATGCCAATTGATTTTAGGTAGGAATTCATCATAGACTGACATAAGTTGAAGGGACATTGGAAACCTGAGAGCAATGAATAGCTTTTCCATCCTACTATAGCTCTCCTCAGCAATGCGCGCCCACAATTCAGGGGTCAGACCCGAAACTTTCAGCTTCCGTGGCCCGCACGTTACCATTGACCCACTGGATCGGAATCTAATTGTCTACACATCCTACTTCTGTCCGTTAACGATATAGCGTGACCTACATCCAATATCGTCGTCGACTAACTGTCCTCATATTCGATTTGGTTACGACTTCTTATTGGAACTTCAGGAGTCACCTCTTGAAGCTAGTCACCAATACGTGCTAGAATAATTCTATCTAGAGGTGGGCACGGAACCTGAAGGTGCTAGATCCGATCCCTGGTGGGTTGAGTTTATGGGTACGCACTGCCGAGGACTGCTATACTGGGACGAAACAGATGTCCAGTGCTCTCAGGTTTCCAATACTTCTTCAAGTGATATCAGCCCATGATGAATTCCAACCAAAAATCAATTAGTAAACCTCCATAACATTCACAATTGGAAGCTCAGTGATGCCTTTGAAGTGAAGACAGGAGTAAAACAAGGCTGATGCCTAATATCACCCATGATATTCCTGATTGTAGTGGACTGGATCATGCAACAAACAGTGATGAGCAAGAAGAGGGGGATACGCCGAACCGCGAAAAAGAACCTAGAAGACTTGGATTTCGTGGATGACTTGTGTCTGATGTCACACAAACTTGAAGATCTACAGGCGAAAGCTAACAGCTTGGGAGAAGGGGCGAGGCAGCGAAGATGGGACTTCAAGTGAACGTAGAGAAGATGGAGGGGATGTTGATACCCAACCAACCCCACCACCAATAACAATAAGTTCCAATCACCATGAACGGGAGAAACTTAAAGGAAGTAGCCTTTTTCATCCACCCTCCTACGCAGCATCGTTTCAACTACAGTCGGTGGCGGCACAGATGAGGACGTGAAAGCCAGGTTCGGAAAAGCAAGACAGGCGTTGATTAACCTGAAACCAGTGTGGAGATCTACTGCACTCAGGATAAAGCGTGAAGAAGATCCGGATATTCAACACCAATGCCAATGAAGAGAGTGCTGCTATATGGTTCAGAAACTTGGCGAGTCACAAGCATTTCCATCAAACTACAGATATTCATCAACAACTGCTTATGCTGGCTCGTTACTGAAGCTCAGATGGCCAGAAAGAATAAGCAACTGGGAGCTCTGGCTGTTAACGAACCAACCAAGAACCTGTCGCTGAACAAATATGCAGAAGGAAGTGGAGATGGATTGGGCATGCACTTTGAAGACCGGTTGGAGACATCATGCCCCAGGCCCTTGAATGGAACCCAGATGGGAAACGACGAATTGGGCTTCCGAGGTGAGGGTGATATGTAGGAGGTCGTGTGATGAAGAAATGAGAGGTTGTGGACAGTCGTGGAGCCAAGTTGAAAAGATTGCAGAGTATAGAATAGGATTTTGACGTGCTAGTGAAGCCCTATATTCAACTAGGAACCCAAGGGACAAATAATAATGATATAATAGACCTCCATAGACCTCCAGATAGACGCCGTTTTAGTCAATATCTGTCCCTCTATGAAACGAAAAGGGATACTGTGAAACAAGTTTTGATGGCAGATAACATACCTAGACTGGAAGTATTTGATCACTAATTCCTTGGTATGTAATGGATTCATCGAGTGGTCAAGTCGAATAATCCTGGGAAAGGAAGACTAATTCGATAAAATTCCTTATTACTCCTTGTGTTGTATTCAGAACCATTGTATACTTCAAAATGAAATTTGTAGGAATCTTGAACTACAAACTCTATTGAATACCTCCTGCTTTCCACAGTGGTATATAACACGAAGAGAAATCGATTGTGATTGGTTACAAAAAATGTATATCATCCATGGGTATCGCAATTAAAACGTGTAAAACATCTTTAATTTTATTCATTCACCTTTCCATCATGGGTTGATATCATGGGAGAACTAAATAACTCTTCAGAAGTGCATATCGGAGATCGAACCCATAACTTTACAGGTCTCATAAGTAAACACTTTCACAGATTTTGCTACCTCTGTCAATTCACAATATAATGTGACTTACTAAGTGTTATGTGAATAGTTTATTCCTGTCTGATGTAGGCAGCTTGTGATTGTCTCCTTCTCTATTTATTCAACACTGTATAAAATTGTATTATTTAACTGAAAATCTTGATTCCATGTTGTTATTTTTGTTTCGTTTTTTTTTAGACTGAAACACAATTTTGGCAAGTATGGAAAGAGTTTGAAGTGATGCATGGGAATGAGGATACATTACGTGAAATGTTACGTATTCGGCGTAGTGTTCAAGCCACCTATAATACACGTGTCAGTTTTGTTGCTAGTCAACTGCAAAGTAACGAAGAATCTGCTGCTACTAATGTCAATAGTGCCGGTAAGTTGAGGGGGGGGGAAGGATAGGGTGGGTTCCTTTCCCATTGATTTTTTTCAAATAGGTGGGGTTGCTCTATCCTGCTTGACATCATATTTTATCAGTCAGTTGTCTGGATTTGTGTATCGATTCAGATTGATAACATTTTGATCAGTGGTTGATTGGAAACATTGAGTTAGTTTCCAAGAGTTCATGTTTCATCATTAGTCCAAACTGTCTAGCATGCGATATAGATTATTTGGCCATCTATGGCGCCGCCGCGATATTTTATTGTCTATTAAGGTTAGAGTGTACTGTGCTGCAGTCGGCTCTCTTCTACTGTATGGCTGTGAAATATGGCCAATAAAGGTAGAAGTCATGAGAAAACTTCAGCTGCTTGGCTACCGTTGCCTGCGTAGGGTAGGTCGTGTTTCGTGATGTTACCACGTGAGTAAGGCAGAAGTCAGGCGTATAGATATACAGAGGAGAGGTAAGACAGTTGATGTAGTTGTGAACCTTTATCGACTGAGATGGCTGGCTCCGACATGTGTTACGTATAGCCTCTTCGCACAATGTTGGCCGAAGTAGTTTCAGGCTAGAGAATGGCTCTGGATGGCCACACTAAAGCTTAGGACGAATGCATGAAGTCATTGACCGTTGGTTTGAGCCACTTACGTCAACACAGACTGACCAGATGGGGTCTATGGGACAAGAGAAACGACTGACTGGCTAAGAATCGATGTCAATGGCGCAGATGTATTCACACATTATCCTCTTCGTAACATGGCTGAAAATTGTTCACAGTGACGTGGATGCATTCATTGTTTGCCATCTTTATAGTTTGAAATAGTTTTAATAACCTTCATCTATTTATTGTCTCAACTATTTTACACAATTGTTGGCTTTACTAGCCCCCCGCCCCCTTTGTATTTACTTCCTTTTTGGTACACTAATGTTAAATGTCACAACTTGAAGTGATACATATGTGTTCCAAGTTCTACACTTATCTTGTCTGCCTGTTCTGTTGTATGACTTTGAGATATGGCCTTTAAAAGTCGAAGACATGAAGCATTTACATGGTTTGGTCGCAGATGTCTTCATTGCAATGCTGGTGCTTAATGGAATCATCATGTGAGCAACGTTGAGGTCAGACGAAGAGTAATAGACACGACAGGCAAATCGATTAATAAGGTTGTGAACTTCAGTTAAATGAGATGGCTTGGACATGTACTACGCTATGCATGCTGAGCTACAGCCTACCTCGAAATACCATGCTGAGGGGGAGTTGGACTGGTTTAGTCAAGGGTTCAGGGTGACAAGACGAAGAAGTGGCAGCTGTACATAAAGTCCCTGACCATTGCTTTGAATCATTCGTGTGTGGGATGGGGAGATTTAGACTGTCTGGTTGGCGTCTCCGAGACTATAAGAATCACTGCTTGAGGACCGTTGGTGACATGGTAACAAATCATTTAAAGTGGCGCAGATGTATTCACTACTTGATGTGTTCTGAATCTTGAATATATTCTCACTGACCGTTATCTTCAGATTGTGTATTTTTTCATACAACTTTGTGTACTTTTATCATCATCAATATCAACATAAGACCAGGCATTACTGCGTAACGGTCCAACTTCCCGCCACACCTCATATCACTACATCAAGTAGAAAGGTAGTAAGGTGGAAGATGAAGATAAGAAAATTCGGTCAAAAGAAATGTAAAGTACTTTAAGAGAGAAAGGAAGAATAAGAAAATGATGAGATTCAGTATAGCGTGGTTAAGATGAGGATAATGTGTGTATACATCTGCCCCCCTCCTCATTGACATCGGTTCTCAGTCATGCCATCACCCAAAGTTTCCAACCACTGCTTCCTCTTGTCCCACGGACACCACCCACCTAGTCTGCATCGCCCCACATGACTCAAACTAACAATCAGAGACTTCATACATTGATGCCATGTTTTAGTCTGGCCACCTCGGGCCTTTTTCCAGCCTGGGCTCACTTCAGCCAACATTGTGAAACAAGGTAATCAGTGATCAGGCATACGTGACACGTGTCGGAGCCAACCATCTCAGTCGATGAAGGTTCATAACCTCGTCAACCGACTTACCTCTACTCCCTAAAACTGTACACCTGACTTCTGTGTTACTCATGTGGTGTTGTGACACCAGGGAATACGTCCTATACTACGAAGGCAACAGTGATCAAACACTTGAAGCTTTTTCATGTCTTCCACCTTCAATGGCCATATTTCACAGCCATACAGTAGAACAGCGGCACCATAGATGGCGTAAAATGGCAAAAGCCTATCGAGCTTTTTCTATGCGTGCCGAGATTTCATTGGCCACTGACCAAGCTATCAGGGCTCATTCTACTTCCAAGGTTCGTAAAGTGGTTGACACTCAACCACTTCACTCTTGTACTACTGTGAAGTATGACAGCTGGAGTCGATGCAGCTGTTTGCGCCATTGTGACCGATTTTCAGCCAAATTATCAAGAGTCATCAAACGTTGATTCCTTTGGTCTTCCTATTCGACTCAAAGTAATAGTCAGGGATTTCATCGACTATTGCCACCTTTTGGTCTAGCCACCTTGAACCCTTATCGTATCTTATCCAACTTCCCGCCAGGGTGGTGCGTCGAGATAGGCGGTGGTTCAGCATGCACAGAACATGTCTAAGCCGTCTCAGTCGACTAAAGTTCATAACCTCATCAATCGATTTGCATGTCACATCTTCTACGACTTCGTCTGACATCGGGATTGCTCACACGGCGGTAATTCCACCATAACCGAGTAATGCTTTGAAGACATCTATGATCGAAACCCCTGAACCGCTTCATATCTCACAGCCGTATAATAGGAAAGAATGAACTGCAGCGCAGTATACTCGTCATTTAATAGATAACCGGATATCTCGCCGACGACACAGGTGATGCAACTTGGCAAGTGCCAAACGTCCCTTCTCCATCCAAGCTGAGATTTCGTCAACAACCAGCCCATTCGTGTTGATGCAACTCTCTAAGTAAGTGAAGAAGTAGGCACATTCTATCACTACACTCTCTACCATTCAGCTGGGAGTTGTCGCATACCAGTCTTGAAGAATCATGTTACATTTAACAGATACCAGCTAAACGCATAACAAACATACTCAAACTACAGATCAACACTTTCAGAAGACCCTGGGTTTTGTCAGCGTCTTCATCTAGAGCAGGACAATATTACTGACACTTGACATTTATATTTCACTATGTCGATCAACATTAATCACAGTAAAAAGTAGTACCAGTCCATAAAATGTTTAACAGTCGATTTGAATCATGTAGACAGATATCTGTGACATGATAATCGATTTGATTGTCTGTTAGATTAGAAGTGATAATGAGCACCAGTCTATTACATCCAGCTTTAATGACTGTAAGAAATGTCGATTGAAGGTGAAGGTTCAGGAAATATAGAACCAATGGGTCTCAATAGCAATACTTGTATGCATATTTTAGAAGTGTAGAGTGAGTAAAGTGTGAGATAATCGATTAAGTCATAAACAAGTAAAGTTATCTAGTCGATGAAAACATACACCTTCGACTTTGATGAAGTCGATTGGGTTATTCAATGAATAGGATTGATTTGGAAGGTGATAGGTAACCAAATCAGTCTAGGAAGCTCTCGGTTCTCAATATGAAGTGTAGATTGAAGTGAAGTGTAGATTGCTTGACTGACAGTCGTTTGTGAGATGTTAAGAATCATCAGAAATTTGCTGACTATACGGAAAATGTATTTCTGATTGTAATATGTGGCAAAGGAAACAGGTATCTAGCATTAATTACAGGATTTTGGTTTCAGCATGTGTTGTGCATACCGAGTCATCGTCTACTTTCACATGAGATGCTTGTCAGAGTTGGATTATGTTGGAAGAATTTTGCGAGTGGTTAGATGAAGACTTGGCATAAGTTGGTGGAGTCTCTGATTGGTGGTTTGACACGTGTGTAGTGAGGTATAGATGACTATCTGGCTGAGATCCCTGTGGCTGGAGAAATCAGTGGTTGGGGAATTGATGACTCTTAATGACATGGTTAGAAATGGATTACAATGGCGTAGAATATTTTTCGACTAGCTGTAGAAATTCTCTCTTGTCCTATCCACCTCTAAGTACTTTGGTATCGTTTTTTTTCTATTCATTTTATACTTACTGTGAAATGTACCAACTTAGATCGACGAACTTCTGTAGGAGGTGATGTTGCCGATAATGACATTGAAGAAGACATACTTTTTGTTAGCTACCATATTAAAGTATCCTGTTTACTTACATATTAGTAGACTGTACAATTTTCAATGACAAGAGTCTAGAAGAAGACTTGGATTTCGCCACTGATGATGATTTATGTCTAATGTCTTGTCGCACAAACTCGAAGATCTGTGTGTGAAAACTAAGAAGTTGGGAGAAGAGGTGGGGCGAGATGAGGTGAGGCAGCGAAGACGGGACTTGCTTCAGATGAACGTAGAGAAGACAGAGAGAGATGATGTGATGAAGATACCCAACCAACACCACCACCACCAACAACAACAACAACAAGCATCAATCACGGTCAACAAGGGAAATGTGAACGAAGTAGTCTCTTTCACCTATCACCTAGGCAGACAGCATCATTTCAACCACAGGCGGCGGCGTCGACGTCGGTGTCGGCACAGATGAGGATGTCAAAGCCAGGATGAGAAAGACTATAAGACAGGCCTTCATTAATTAACCTGGAATCAGTGTGAGGATCTACTGCACTCCACTCCACCAAGCATAAATTGTGAACAACATCAACACTAATTCCAGTCAAGTCAGTCAGTGCTTATATACTATATGGTTGAGGGACTTGGCGTCTTAAGTAAAGCCTTTCCAACAAACTACACACATACATCATCAACATCTGCGGCCTATGCTAACTCCATACTGACAGTGAAGATCCATCAGGTGGCCAGAATAGTAAGAATAAGCAAGGAGGAACTCTGGCTGGATGGCTGGCTGGCTAGCTAGCTGGCAACGAACCAAACAACCGAGTACGTATCGCCCAACAAGTATGAAGTAGGAGAAAGTGGAGATGGATTGAATTGGACATACACTGAGAAGACCGATTGGGGAAATCACGCACCTGGCCAGCCACTCGAGTAGATCCGAAATGGGAACGATGAGTTGGATGTCGGGTGCGAGGGTGACATGGAGGAGATGGTGTGAGGAAGAAATGAAAGGTTGGTCGGATTGGTGAAGCTAGGTTAAAAAGACTACAGAGAAGAGAGTGGAATGGCGATGTGTAACTGAAGCCCTATACACCGGTAGCCTAATCACTTCTTATGATGGATGTGTAGAGCAATGAAATCAACGATGAAGGGGTAGGGGGAATGCAGTAATTGTATTTTGTGAGAAGAAAAATTTGAACATTTCCCATCAGGGTTAGGGTTCATAACTGAATATCTTGTGGTTTGAGCCTTGTCAACAACATTGGACATCATGTTATCTACTGATGAAATTGATAAGTCTTCAGTGAATAAACAATCCAGTTGTACTTGGGGGAGTCAATCGTGAGCCGAATTATTCAATGGTAACATGTCTGACTGCAGTGCTGAGTGATGCGGACTTGAATGTTAGGTGGTATATGAGTTCCTTCAGAGTTGTAGATACATCTCACTGACGACTGTTAACAAGCAGGAAATGTGGGTGGAGCAAGGCTTTCTCCCGATTGCCTTTATCACTATATATTATTAGAACACAAAGGTGGTACAGCAGAGGTGGGAGGAAATCTCCCACGCAATTAATTAATATAACAAGATTAGGAAGACATAAAGAGAGGAGAAGAGAAGAGAAGTGGATGAGTAACAGCGAAGTAAAACACAATGAGAACAGAATGATCAGAAGGGTAGTTCAGTAAGACACATTCAAGACGAAATATTCATTACTGTTGATCAGCAGAGTACAGAAGGAAGTTACAGCATGATTGTCACTGGTTTCTATTCTCACTCATATATGATAATGTATCAAGCCACTGAGTTGAATGATCTGTCATACCTCAACCAGGAAGTCATGATGCACAGACAGATGCTGACTAGATACAACTATCCTTCATCCCACAGCACCACATCATACACTGACCACTCCCTCCTCCCCTGTTCTTCCATCCAGTTGGAGGTTTATCGAACAGTGAACAGTATGGAAGCCGGTGTTTCCGGGTGACTTCACTTGTTGAATGACGATTGCCATCATGTCAGAACACAAGGTGTCATACTACCTCACAATAAGGGGGATGTTGTTGACACCGGATCTGAGCAGTCCTCCGGAGACAACGATGGTCGAACACACAGAGTCGTCACATGATGTCCATTCAGAGAGGTCAGGTTTCACAGGCGTAGAGTTGAACTGCCTGCATCAAAGCGTTATAAACATGTCGTGATGGCGCCAAATGTGGCCCAGATTGACGTATGCCACCCTTGCTTTCAATCTACAGTTGAAAATTTCATCAATCATACCTCCACCATGATTTGCACAACTACGCAGATACACGAACGTTTTGACTACTTGGAACGAACACCACCAATGTTCAGCGCAGTCACGCAAGCTCCTGTCCCTCTTCTAACACACACTAGCATAACCTTCAACTATCGAGCATCATTATAAGTTGTCTACTTAGGGAAAATGTCATATCCAGTGACCGATATCGCTAAGCTAACTGTGGAACTGTATCGTCGCCAACGTTTTAATGCAGATAACAATCGTGTTATTTAACCGGTCCCGTGCAAGTTGTTTTTGATTCGTCTTGGTGTAACTAACAGTTTAGTCAGCGTTTGATATGTATGATGGCTGTTGGTTAACAGTAGAATCCATAACACATGTTTCGTCATATTCTGGAACTTGTCATCTGGATGTTGTTCCCACTACGACTCGAAACCCACGACCATTTCTTCCAATGCGAGATTGTTGTATACTGGGCAAGTGAGTCAAGACAGTCACTCCTTGTGCAACAAGCATACTATACTTTTGATGCATATCAAAGTTGAAAATAGCCACCGCCTATATGTGGTAGTAGTGACCGATCAGTTCGGTCTAATCAAAATCATGTGAATATTAATCTTGGTGACTAGCAGTGAGGAGTCCAGCTTGATGCACGTTTCGCCGTATCTGGGACTCGTCAGCTGGACGTACCTGCACCCCAATGCGGAGTGTTGTTGTTCCCACTGAGGCTCGAACCCAATGCCCTTCACTCCAAACGCAAGAGCTTTATCCACTAAGCGATCTGGGCACGTTGGTGGGAATGACATCACTTCGCACTGCAGTGTCGTTACACCCAGCTGACAAATCCTAAATAGGACGAAACGTACATCCTAAATTCCTCTGCTAGTCCCCAAAATGAATATCCGCACTGGGACTCACCTACCAACAGTAGAGGTCGAGTGATTCAGCCTTATATAGCAACGAGAAATTACAAATATTATTACATGTAGATGTTTCAAACAAAAGTTGTTTTTTTTTAAATTGAACATTGAATTGTAAATAGAACACTGTAGAATGTAGGATCAGGCTATTTCTATTCAAGTTGTCCTACAGTCAGTCAGTCGATAACAGTTTGGGTGGTCAAAACCCTACCTTGATAAAGTAATATATATATATATATATATATATATATATATATATATATATATATATATTCGTATGGTTCTGGTTAACCAGTTATTACTTTTCTTCTCTTTCGTTCACATTTAACTTCTCTTTAAATTTTTCTCTAATTTCAAAAGATGAAATGCAAAAATTGGACAAATCATGCGTTGACAATGTTACCAGTAAGAATACAGATGAATATAAACCAAAATTAGCTGGTCGACCAATGGTCGTTTTTCAGTCAGCAGGTGTCAAGCAACTTGGTTTACATAGTCAGAAACAAGAAGGCAATCAGAAGGCTAGTACTAATATTGAAGAGATTGACATTGATTTGGCAGATGAAGACAATGATAATGATGATGATGACGACGACGAAAATAGCACAGGTGTACCAAGTAAAAGACGAAGAAGAAATGATCCAGACGGTAAGTCAGTTCATTAATCCTTTTATGAATAGATCGAACTTTTGTTTCTCGGCTGTGTTATATACATGCTATCTGACTAGAATAGTAACAGTCGACTGTTATTGACACTCTGTAGCGTATAATCTAGTATACAAATGTGTAAATAGTTAACTAGCTATTATTCAGTCGGTCAATCTCTTTCCATTCTTCTCTTTACAGTGGTTTTACCCGTTCCACCCTACCTTTTGTGTGTGTGTGTGTGTGCATTACAATAGCCGAGTTTTTTCAGTCTACATTATTGATCTTATTCCCGTATGTCATTCTATATGTAGCTAAATTCTTATGTTGCGCTAATCTAGTTGACCCGTACCGGCTAGGTTGACCTATGTACTTAACCTTGCTTGCAGAACAAAACGCAGAACATACGGTGGTTTAGATACTGCCATCTACAGGATAACCGACACATTCTAACAGGTATCTAGACTTCAAGTCATCTCATCCAATATCCGTTAGTTAAGGTGGCTTCACTAGTTACTGTAGGGATTTAAACAAGGAACTCAATCACATAAAAGAAGCACCAATAGTTAATAGTTATTCTCAACAGTTTATTAGGAAATCCGTACGAACACACAAGATACGAAAAGATAACAGTAACATAAATACGAATAATAACGAAAACATGAGTAGAAAAGAGTTCACAGCCTCCATTGTATTACCCTATAAGGAGGGTACCTCAGAAATTTTACGTAGAATCCTCAACAGAACTGGAATTAGGGTATCATTTAAACCTAAAAACTCACTCAGAGATAAGCTTTGTCGACTAGCTTAAAAATTCGATAGAACCAATACAACAGAATGATCTAATCTATCAAATTCTATGTAATGACTGTGTCAGGTCAAGTACATAGGTGAAACTAGCCGGGGTTGGGGTCACTTAGATTAGTGGGACATAGGAATTTAGTCAAATGTAAAATGACAGACCCGATCAATAATCTAGAAAAAAACACTGGGCTACTGTAATGCATGGATTAACACACAATAACACAATAGAGTTGATGGGAAGAAAACCTCTGTACTCAAGTTCAATTAGGTAGGTAGAGAAAAGAAGAGATTGATTAGTGAATTTTCGTTCATCGAATCAACACTTTGCCAACTCATGTAATAGGAATAGCTTAAAACCTATACCAAAGATATGGAAAATCTTACTACAAATAAAAATAAAGAATATGAGGTGATAGGACTTGACTTGGCCTTGAAGGGTCACTGGCTGACGAAATCTCTGCACCAATACAAAAAGCTCGATTGGCTTCTGCCAAATTTTACGCCATCTGTAGCGCCGTCGTGACATACGTTTGTGTATTAAGGATTGAGTGTACTGTACTGAAGTTCGCTGTGTTCTAGCGCATGGGTGTAAATTATTATTATGATTATGATTATTATTATTTATCCCAGGGGTTCCTTGTGGAACATAGGACTTCAGTAGCACGTCACCATTTCACTCTGATCGCTGCAGGTTTTTCAATCTGGCTCCATGACTGCACACAAGCCTTCATTTCTTTCTCACATGATCTCCATGTCACCCTTGCCTCGGACTCCTAACTCATCATTTCCCCTTTAGATTCCACTCGACGGCCTGGCGCTTGATGTCCGCTAATGGTCTTCTCAGTATATGCCCAATCCATCTCGACTTTCTTTCATTGCATATTTGTTGGGTGATAGGTTCTCGGTAGGTTTGTTTCCAGAGTTCTTTGTTGCTTACACTTATTATTCTGGCCATCTGATCTTCAGTATCCAGCCAGCATAGGTGGCAGTTGTTGATGAATGTCTTTAGTTTGTTGGTAATGCCTTTCGTGACGCACCAAGTTTCTGAACCATACAGGAGCACTGACTTGACGTTAGTGTTTAAAATCCGGATGTTGTTCACGCTTTGTGCTGAGTGCAGTTGATCTCCACACTATTTCAGGTTAATGTGGGAAGGCCTGTCTTGCTATCTTTCCGATCCTGGTTTTGGTATCCTCACGTATGCCGCCACTTGTAGTTGAAACGATGCTGCCTGCCTGACTGGTAGGTGAAAGAGACTACTTCCTTCAAGTTTCTCCCTCTGATGATGATCGGTTCTTGTTGTTAATGGCATGGGTGTAAAACATGACCATTTAAAGGTAGAAGACATGAAAAGGCTTCACCCGCTTGGCTACCGTTGCCTGTGTAGGGTAGGTCATGTTTCGCGGTGTTACTACATGAGTAAGGCAGAAGTCGGGTGCAGAGATATACGGAGGAGAGGTAAAACAGTTGATGTGGTTGTGAACCTTCATCGACTGAGATGGCTCGATGGGATATGCGTTACATATGCCTAACCACTGTCTACTCCGTCGCACAATATTGTGTGATGTATGTTCGGACTGGAAAAGGTGTGGGCTGGGAAGACTAACATATAGCATGAGTGAAGTCGTTGATTGTTGGTTTGAACCATGTAGAGTTAGGCAAATTAGCCAGCTGAGGTCTGTGGGACATGTGAATCCGGTAGTTAGAGGCTGTAGGTGATATGGCTAAGAACCGATTTCAGAGGCTTAGATGCATACACACATTTTCTTCATCCTAACCCCTATACTTAATCTCATCATCTCATTCTTATCACTTCTCTTTTATGACTCTCTACTTTCTTTGACCAATTTTTATTTCCTTCCTCATCTTCTATTTTGTTGCCTTCTTACTTGATGTGCTGATCTGATGTGTGCGGCATCTTGGACTGTTACGCAGTAGTAATGTCTGGTCCTACGTTTGCCTTGATGATGATCAAGGTGGTGATGGTGACGATGGAAAGTGGTGTAATTAGATTGATATGATTGTGAACGATTGTAATTTACGCCCTAGACGTCATCAGGTAAGTAATGCTGTGTCATTAGGTGTCGTTGACCAACCGAACTGGATCAAGCCAATAGCCGTTGAGCTACAATTCCGTTAACTGTATTTATTCGCAGCAATTACCAGACACTAGAACAAGAATAACAAGCAATAATGAATTAGGACGGTCACTTATACAGAAAACATGAACAAGATGTAAGGAAGTTATAATTCAATTAGCAACCAATCAGTCGATAAGTTTTCATTACAGAGAGTTTCAATTTCATCCACTGTCGCACATTTCTTCCCAAGATATCGCAGCTCAATCAAATATTGTATAAAACGTAACTCACTTAACAACCTTGGGCACATTCATGAAGTTGGCAGTTAGCTATACCTACTACCTAGTGGCTGGTGATGCTTACTATCTGACTGCCTAAATGACAGTATATTGAGCGGGACTCGAACTCATGACCCACTGAGTTGCAGCTCTCAAATATTCTACACTTAGAATAGAGTCTACTCAGAATTTATTGAAAATCCCTATTGAAGTGACCAAGACATAGGTAATGACGATACTGAACGCAGTGATACATTACAACTAAAAATACCTCATCACTTTATTCTTCACTGAGTCACGGAAATATCATATAACTGACCTTTGATTGAAAGGATGATAAGTTTATTGGATAAACCACAGCACATACCTATATATATGCAATTCCCAGGCACATAATAAATCTCCTTGAGCGAAGATAGAATAACACAATCTTATTGGCTACTTAAATCGTCCAATAAGATTGTTCTATTGAATTTTTGAGGGTTGTGGAGACTTGGAAATATTTGAAGTTGTCACTCATCGTAAACTGACATGAGTTAGAGGAACAAAGGAAACCTGGGAGCACTGGACAGCTGTTTCGTCCGACTAGTATGGGACTCCTCAGCAGTGCGCACCCACGACCCCTCACTGCAGGGGTCGAACCCGCGACCTTCAGGTCCCACAAAATTCAATTGAACTGGTGCTCATTGGTGACTAGCTTCGAGAGGTATTTCCGAAGTTCCAATAAGAAGTCGTGACCGGTGGGGACGAAGCTTGTTGGTCGTGAGGACAGTTACTTTACGATGACATTGGGTGGCAGGTGCGCTATATCGTGAACTAACAGAAGTTGGAAATATGGACCATTGGATTCTGACCCAATGGCTCAATGGTAACGCGCTTGCCGCGGAACCTGAAGGCCGCGGGTTCGATCCCTGCAGTGAGGTGTGGTGGGTGCGCACTGCTAGGGAGTCCCATACTAGTCGAACGAAACAGCTGTCCAGTGCTCCCAGGTTTCTTTTGTTCCTCTAACTGATGTCAATCTACGATGAATAACAACTTGAAATATTTCCAAGTCTCCACAACCCTCAAAAATTCAATAGGACAATCTTATTGGACGATTGTTGTTGTTTCCAGGTACTTGATGTAATAGTTGGATATTTTCTCATTCTATTAAGAGTTTTGTTTTTACTCTCTCTTGTGTTTGCTTTTTACTGTAGATGTAAACATTGAAAATCAACCTGTCCCATTGACAGTTTTCGGCAGCTTGAAAAATGAAGATGTTGAGGATGATTAACACCGTATATACATATCTGTGGGTATATGTTAATGTGTAACATCACCATTGTGTACAGTTGAATGAAACATATATATTATAAACAAGTAATTGTATATTTTCCTTATTTAGCGCGCATACATACATATTCACTTTAACTACTGAGGTGTACAGTTTGAGGAAAGTAGTTGGGTTAGATGGATATCAGATTTGGAGCGGAGTTGCAGAAGTAACTATGACGCTCGAGTCAGTCAATGCCGCGCCATAGTATGTGCCAGAGCGTAAAAAGCGTGAAAAAGTTCTACATATGCAGGTTAAGTAGTGTGGCTGTTTATGCTGCTTACCAGCAAAGTCGGAGATGTAATGTATACTGGTGAATATTGATCAAACCTAATTATATAACGAGAATGAACCTTCTTGTAACCCCGCCAGGTTCATAATTGACTGTCAACGAGATCCTTATGCACTAACCAATGATGCAGATCTTCAAAGGACATACGGGCCAGTTGACCGTCATGATCCGCCCAGTGTGTCAATAAAAGGTAAGGCAGTCCAGTTTCCTTATTGCCGTAGTCATCTCTGTTAAAGCAGACTTAAGAGAGATCATGTGGTCCACTTTGCAAAGGTGGGATGGTTTTCAATCGGGAAAGCTGAGTATCATTCTTTGTAGCTATAGCCTACTTCTTAGATAGCTTAGGTGGAGATTGTGCTTTCTCGGGGTGTGTGTGTGCTGCATCGCCTTCTACAAGATTAAGGATAATCGGTCAGACATATCCCACAGAGGTAGGTGAGTACGGTTAACGAACTGATTACCCGGTGAATGTAGACACGCTGAAACCTGACAGCTGAAAGGGAAGGATTTATCTATCAGTTTTTAGAGAGCTTTAATAGAGTCCTCTATCAGGAGTGTTCGTTTTCAAAAGACGTTTCCTGCTCGATAAGGAGACCTAACCTACAGCTCAAGTGATGAGAACATCCAAACAGACGGTGTCTACCCTGAAACAGGAAAGTGAACTGAAAATCATGCATTATTGATAAGGCGAAGAGAGAGAGACACTTGGTGTTTGCTTACACTTCAAGTTATTTCAGTGCTTCGTGTCAGTTAATACAGAAGACACGAAAATGATGCGAGATCTGAGAAAGCCGCTTGGCTTAACTTATCCTGCATTAAATGCGATCATGTATTTAACTAATCGTTGGTGGTGAAGGGAATGATGTGAATATCTATGCAGTGAAAGAAGACCTTCAATATAAGTAACCACGAATCCCTATTTGATCATTGAAAAACAAAAAGGAGGTTATAGTGAAGATAATTATCCTTTCGATGACTCGTTTTCACAACTGTACCTTCTTAAATGTATGAGTAAAGTTATCGAATGTTTCAGATAAGTTTCCATCATCATCATCATCTATCAACATAGGACCAGGCATTACTGCATAACCGTCCGAGTTGCCACACCTCATATAAGTACATCAAGTAAAAAAGCGGTAAAGTGCAAGATGGAGATATTAAGAGAATGTAGTCAGAAGAAATATAAAGTACCAACAGCGAGAAAGGAACAGTGAGAAAATGATGAGATTCGGTATAGCGTCGTCAAGATGAGGATAGTGTGTATGTGTATACATCTGCGCCACTGACATCGGTTCTCAGCCATATCATCACCTAGAGTCAGTCTCCAACCACTGGTCCCTCTTGTCCCACTCACAGCAGTCACCTAGTCTCCATCACCCTCACATGACTCAAACCAACAGTCAGAGACTTCACACATTGATGCCATGTTTTAATCTGGCCACCTCGAACCATTTTCCAGCCTGAAAGTACTTCGGTCAGCTTTGTGTGACGAGGCAGTTGGTGGTTAGGCATACGTAGTACGTGTCCCAACCATCTCAGTCAATGAAGGTTTATAACCTCGTCAACCGACTTACCTCTACTCCCTAAAACTCACGTATGTGTTACTCACGTGGTGCGGTGACACCAGGGAATACGGTCTATACTACGAAGGCAACGGTGATCAAACGCTTGAATCTTTCTCAGGTCTTCCACCTTCAATGAACGTGTTTCATAACCATAGAGTACAACAGACCTGACTGTTGTGCAGCACACGCGTCGCTTAATAGTCAATCGGATATCCTGACGGTGCCCCAGGTGGCATAAGTTGGCAAAAACCAGTCGAGCCTTTTGTATGTATGCAGAGATTTCACTGACCAACACACCTAAGCTGATTCAACTTCCCACTTAGTTGAAGTGTTCAACACGCTGAACCACTTCGCACTCTATTATTAGCTGTGGCACCGTTGAAGATCAATCGTGGAGCAACAATTTGCATTTCGGTGGTGAGAAACTCATGCCAAACATTCACAAATTGCCACTCAGGGTGTCCAGAAAACTGCATCTTTTCAGTATCTTCACCTAACAGGATCATGTGATCTGCATATTACAGGTCTAACAAAAATTCTTCCCAGATTACGTCAACCTCTGTGTAGTCAGATGACGAGAGGGAGATAGACCTCCATAAGAATATGTATCATGAAATTGAATAAGAATGGAGATAGTGGGCACCTTTGACGGACACCACTCGATTAGCATAGCTCCCTGGACATCTCACCATAGGCTCTAACACGCCCACAAGTTGTTCGAGTAGAGAGTCTTCAATAAGGTGATATACTTACTCGGTGCGCCTTTCAGTGAGAGACATTGCCATAAAACTTCTCGGTTAACGGAATCGACTGCCGCCTTCAGGTCGAGGAATACAGGCACGGTCGGGTGCCAGTAAGCATGTATATGTTCCAGGACCTGGAGCAGTGTGAATATTTCGTCGACATACCTGCAGCCGGATCCAAAGCCTGACCGGTTTTGTCGGACTTGGTGTTCCCGAACCTCACTCAGGCGTCGAAGAATTATAGAACCTAGGATCTTGGATACTATGTTTGTCAGGCTGGTTTCTTTGTGGTTATCACAAGAGGACTTTTCGCCTTTCTTGCAGACTGAGATAATCAGTGATTCAGTCCAGTCAGAGGAAGTCTTGTTTGATTCCGATTTACTGGTTAATCTGACTAAGATAAGTTTCCGGTCAAAGTTCAAACTTAACCAACAGGGAACGAAATGCTAATACATAACATAACAGAGGTATGAAATACCTGATTAGGTTTTCGGTAATGAGAGTGTTTGCACATTTTTCTTTTGAGTACGAAGCTGACGTTTGAATCTATGAATGAACAAAGCTTTCGCTGGGCATAACTGTCTAATATTCACTCTATTTTGAACGGTTTGATCGAATTTTGAAAGAGGTTCCCAGAGTCTAGGAATGTTCACTATTCATTCAGTAACCAGGCTGGATAATGTTTATAAGCCTAATTTTTAAGCGAGTTTATATAGTATGGCTGACATATTTAGCTTCACTGGAGTAAGTGAACTTACAAATACTCAATGATGAAGCTGAATCCCCCAACTTATCTTTCATGTATTGATGAATTAGTCATTGATATGAGAAAATAATATGTAGAATGTTCTTCCAAGGGACTTTGGTAAATGTTGTTTGGATCTATTCCTTAGACTTCTTTCCTTTCATATTTTTCTCTATACATATGGATGAGTAACCATTATCTATTTCACGGAGGGTTTCGAACTCTGAAACATCACTGCATATTTTTCTTATTTTTGAAGATTGTCAGCACACAAGATTCCTTTTCCTACCTAATAGTTAATGAAAGACAGAATCTCTACAAAATACTCCAATATATTATTAGTCATACAGTTAGTTTAAATAACAAGAACACTTGGGATTCATTTCGATTTGATGAATTTTCATCAGCTGTAAATGGTCTAATATGATATGGATAAGTTAACAAGTGAATCCAGTTACTATTAAACATTGAAGTTGAATTAATAAATTCAAAGGAAGCAGTGTAAGAGAAAACAAAATGTATAAGAATTAACAGAAAAAACTGAGATGACAATTGTAATGGTTACATTTTTTGATAATCATCCTTTAAAAAGTACAACCATTGTTTCCTACTTTAAGGGAACAACAAATTATGTTGACTAGATTTAAAATAACCGAGAAGTAATTTGGCAGGTAACTGCTTCAACACTACGGAATAACACAAACCTTTATCAACCTCACTCAACAGCCATATACGCTATATGACGCTTCATGTCAAGTGATCCACAATGAAAGCTCAGTGATATTTTTGAAGTAAAGACAGGAGTAAAACGAGGCTGTCTACTATCACCAATGATCTTCCTGGTTGTGGTGGACTGGATTATGCAGCAGATAACTGTGAGGAGCAAGAAGAGGGGGGATACGCTGGCTGGACAGCAGAAAAGATCCTAGAAGATTTGGATTTCGCTAATAACTTCTGTTTGATGTTGCATAAACTCGAAGATCTACAGGCGAAAACTAACAAGATGGGAGAACGGGTGAGGCAGCGAAGGAAGACAGGACTTCCTTCAGGTGAACGTAGAGAAGACAGAGGTGCTGATGATACTCAACCAATGCGACCACCAACAACAAGAACAAGCTCCAACCACCATCAATGGGAGAAAGTTAAAGAAAGTAGCCTCCTTCATCTATCAAGGCAGCACTGTTTCAACTACAGTCGGCGGCAGCACAGACATTCATCAACAACTGCCTGTGCTCGTTACTGAAGATCAAATGGCCAGAAAGTATAAGCAATAAGGAACTCTAAGAAAGAGCCAACCAAGAACCTATCACTCGACAAATATGCAGTGGAAAGATGTGGAGATGGATTGGGCATGCACTGAGAAGACATCACGCGACAAGCACTCGAGTGGAACCCCGATGGGAAACATTGAGTTGGGCGTTTGAAGCGAAGGTGACATGGAGGAGATGGTGTGAGGAAGAAATGAAAGCTTGTGGGCAGTCGTGGAGCTAAGTTGAAAAGATTGCAGAGAAGAGAGTGGAATGGAGATATGCTACTGAAGCCCTATGATCCACAAGGAACCCAAGGGAAAAATATTAATAATAATAGGTTCGAAATAAATAGGATTAGAGGCAGTG